TGAGCCCAAAAAAGAAGTACGAGAAGAAAGATTTATAGAGATCATTGCATGGTCAGAACCACCTAAGGGAGAAAAGGGAGAAACTGAACATAAGCTAGGGTCAGAGACAAGACATAAGTCAAGGAGTGAAGGTAAATGATTAGGGTTGTCAGGAAAACGAGTCACAAAGTTAACTATCTGAGTAAGAGATTGAGAAACGCAGAAGTTAAAGGCTTTAGTGCCAGTAGGATCAGTGGTGTTAGAGCCAAGCCATTCAGTGTGATGGGGATTAAAATCACCAACAACAACAATATTGGCAGAGGGGTAAAGAGAGAGGGCATGGTCAATTTGATCAGAGATAACATCTAAAAGAGTGCAATCATGGGAAGAAGGAGAACGATAAAGAACAAAGAGAAAGGTGATAGAGTGAAGAGGTGCTATATATATATATATATATATATTTGTTTTCATGCATTTAATAAAATTCTGGTGATTTTTCGTTTCTTTGTTTACTAAATGAATTACGTCATTAAGTAATTATTATTTCTTCCTGTTGGCTTGACAAGGTTTTAACTGAAACTTTTTATATAAGGAGAATTGAAAAAAAAATTTTTTTTTATATGTATTAAAATTATTGTTATTAATAATAATTTTAATACATATAAAAAAAATAAAATTATAATAATAAAAAAAAGATGAGCAATTAATTTGGTTTTTTCAACGCATTTTTAAAATGCGTCATTTTTAATAAATGCAAAAAAAATCGTGGCCATGTTATCAACAAAAAAATATGTGTGTGGTCATTTAAGGTGTGTGACCGCACGCGTCTTTGCCATGACTAAACATTCACAAAGTTAATCAATAAAGTAAAACACTTCAGTGATGGTGCTGTGTCACAGTACGAAAATTACAAATGTCTGTTAAACTTATTGTACCATCTTGAAGATCACAATATAAATGCTGAGCATCACTTCTTTGCTACACCTCATGGCAAAAGTTCATGTGATGAAATAGTAGGAACTATTATAAAGTATAAAAAGAGAAGCAAAAGCGAGTCTAAAAGCAGCAAGTGCAAACCAGATTCTAATACCAAATGAACTGTTTATATGGGCTGAAAAAACATGGTGTTAACATATTTTACATTTCAAGCGATGATACCAATAATCATTAAACTTATTTTAACCTTAAGAAACGATATAAAATGATGAGCACTGTCTCAGGCACAAGAAGCTATTACAGTTTTGTACCAGCTAGAGAGAAATTATTTTTATGGAGAATCTCTAGCAATACTGTCTATGATACCCACTTGCTAAATAATATTATCTTGGTAAAAAAAGATCTTTCAAACTTTCAACCTGGTAAATATATTGCTTTCTTTTACAATGATGAATGGTACATAGAGCTTGTGCTTGAGATTTGTAATGAAAACCAAAATGGTAATGTAAAAATCATGCATAGAAATAAATTAAATTTAAAATGGACTAATGATGCACAATCAAGTTAGTGTTGGGTTCCATTTAACAAAGTAATAAAAAAAAGCATTGCACTCAAAATGCTAAAATTATGTTATAAGATTATAATAAACTGTTATAAGAGTATAATAAACTGCAAAAGTTTCCAAAATTTTTCTTATTATTGCATTTTTTTTTAGCAACTTTGAAGTGCAATAACTCATCAATTAACACCTATAAAATTGGATTATTTGGGTTAAAAACTATTAAGATACAAAATTTCAGATGATCACCTTTTTTATTTACATAGTTATGCTGTCAAAAATCAGAAAAAATGTACTGTAAGCTCCAGGTACTTAAATTTTTCTGATTTTGATTAATATGAAATTAATCATAACTTTTAAACGGTTTGGTCAATCAAACTCAAATTTTGAGGTTTGTAAGTTTTTTCATAAATACTGTGGGTGGTCTAAATTAGGGTTTCTCAAACGGGATCCCGGGATCCCGTTTTCCCGGGATCCCGGGGATAAAAGTGGCAGCGGGATTTCCCGGGATATCACTCTTATATCCCGGAATATAATTTTTTTTAAAATAATTTTACATATGATAACTTTGAACTAATTCGACCAAAAATAAGAAAAATATTATTGCATTTAGTTGTGTTTTATGTGTTAATACCTTATATTAAAACCTAGCACAACAAGAAATGCTATTGAAACTATCTTAAACTAAAAAGAAATGCATTGCAATGCAATGTTTTCTTTTTTCTCATTATTATAAAATATGAGTAAAAAATAAAAAAGATTTCTTGCGACGAAAACAGTAAGTTTAATTTTTAAACTTCTAAATTATTGAAAAGTTAAACTTTTTCTGTATCAAATTATTGAAATATTTAATAATTTTTGTATTTAAAAAACGGCAAACAAACACATAAAAGTCATACGTAAGATAACATACATATGTAAGAAATATTTGTAACTTTACTTTTAGTTGTTCTGCGATTCAATTTAGTTATACTATGTCAATTGTAAATGGATCCAAAGCATGGCAGTATTTTTGTAAAGAAAAATCTGGCGAATCTGCAATTTGCAAAAAGTGCAATGTAAAGATAATGTGCAAAGGATTTTCGACCAGTGGGCTCCTACGTCATTTAAAAAACACACATAAAGATTTGGATCTAAATATGAAGCGTCTACTTGAAGATACTGGTTCGGAAAATAAAATTGTTCAAAAGAAAATAACATTGTTTGTTAAACAGCAGACTATCGAGGAAATTGTGTCAAAGCTAGCAACGGTGGATGGCTTCTCAATAAATGCCATAACAAAAAGTGAATTCATTAGAAAATCATTGTCTGAAAAAGGCATGTTATTACCAAAAAATCCATCCCATGTTATGGGTATGATAAAAAAACAATATGAATTAGCTAGACAAACTGTGGTTTTAGAGATAACAAAAGAAATTTCTAGCGGGTCGCGATTTTCTTTATCGTTAGACGAATATACGTCTTTAAAAAATCGACGTTATTTAAATGTAAATTTACACTTATCAACAAAGTTTTGGAACCTGGGAATGACTCCGATAGCTGGATCACTTCCTGCAGAAAAAATTGTTGATCTAGTTGAAAATAAACTGTCAGATTTCAGTTTATCAATTAAAAAGCACATCATAGCTAGTGTCACTGACGGAGCATCCGTAATGAAAAAATTTGGACGGCTAAGTGGTATTGAACATCAGCTGTGTTATGCCCACGGACTTCATTTGGCAGTATGTGATGTTCTTTACAAAAAGTCAGACTCTTCAGCAAAATATATTGAATTTGAATCGCAGTTTCAAGATTCCGATGAAAATTTGAGTGATTACGACAAGTTTGATGATGTATTTGACTGTAATGATGAGTCACACAGCTCAACAGGCGTTACGTTTATTGATGATTTACAAAATAGCGTAAATATAGCCTTAACAATTCAGAAGGTTCGAAAAGTGGTTCGAATGTTCCGTAAATCACCTCTTAAAAATGAAGTTTTACAAATGTCTGTAAAATCTATGTTTAATAAAGAGCTTAAGCTGATATTAGATGTCAAAACGAGGTGGAATAGTCTTGTTGCAATGCTAGAAAGATTCCTTAAAGTAAAAACATGTATACTAAAAGCAATGATCGATTTAAAAGAAGTTCTGAATATCTCCGAAGATGAATATGCGATTATGAACGACATAACATTTTCTCTGCAACCAATAAAAGTTGGAATAGAAAGACTTGGTAGAAGTAATGCTACTCTACTTGACGCAGAAGGTGTAATGATATTCATCTTAGACGATTTGACAGAGAAAAAAAATTTTATAGCTAATAAACTGCTTCAATCTGTGCAGCAGAGAATTGAAGAACGCAGAAATGCCAATTTAATTGGATTACTAAAATTTTTAAACAACCCAATTAGTTATAATCAGGAATCAAATATCAACTCCAAACTACTCTTACCGCCCAAACATGCATTAAAAGCAACAGCAAAAAAAATTTATACCAGGTTGTACATAGAGGATGCTAGCCTTAGTTCATCAAATAATGAAATAGTTGAAGTGAGTCGTGATAATGAAAGCATGGTTTCTGACCCGTCAATACCTCAACCTGTTGCTCCATATTTATTAGGCAAAAGTATTTTGACGCTTGAACAAAAATTGGATGCGACTATTTGTAATGTCAAACAAGTAGAAAAAGCAGCTCTAGAAAACATTAGCAATTTAAAAAACCTCACAAAAGAAATCAAACTTTTTGAGGCAACTGGAAAGCGTAGCGAAAGTTTAGAAAGAATATACTCAACATTAATGACCATCAAGCCGACATCAATTGAATCAGAAAGGGCTTTTTCTGCCGCGGGTCTATTTATGGGAAAAATTCGTTCACGATTAAGTGACAAATCAATTGATTGTTTATGTTTTTTAAAACAATATTTCATTTTAAATAGTAATATAGATTAGCGTGCTAAGATAAATTTGTGTCAGAAACCGCTTGTTATTATATTAAAAATTATGCCGGGAAATCCCGGGATAAATAAGTTACACACCGGGAATCCCGGGATGCTAAATTTACGGGAAATGAGAAACCCTAGTCTAAATTTGATGCAAATTTGAGTTGGTATTCTGGGGACCATTAGGTGATTTGATATGGAATGACCCATATATATTAATAATATTTATATAATAATTATATATATATAATAATTATATATATATATATATATATATATATATATATATATATATATATATATATATATATATATATATATATATATATATATATATATATATATATATATATATATATATATATATATATATATATATATATATATATATATATATATATATATAACTATTATAACACACACACATCAAAATTGAATAATGATTTTATGAATATTGGTTTTATTCATACAAAAATTCTATTTGTTATACAACGCTCTTTTGTCAATAAATAATTTAAGATTAGTATCTTCTAAACAATAAATTTGAAGAAAAGGTTCTTAAGACTTTCTACTTTTTACTAGAATATAATTAGATCTTTTACATACCTGAGTTGTAACATTATATGCCATGTAAGCACTCATCCCTTCACCTAATAAAATTTCAAAATATAAACTTATAACACCTTAATAAAGTAAACTTAAAAAGTTAATTTAAAAACATGTTGTTAATTCAAACATTAGTTCATATAAGATCACATAAACAATTAATAAAAAGTACCTATTTTTATTGGATCAGAAATTTTAATTTTAATATCAAAGGTATCACCGCCTTCTTTTTCAAGATCCTAAAATTTCATTAAAATTAAGTAAATAAATAACTCAATACATAATTTAACAATACATAAGTGAATACATCACAGAATATATCTACTACTGCAGACTTAGGTTGGTACAGCTCCACCTATCTTGAAGTATCTGAACTTATTAAATCTTCACAAAATAAGGCTAGTTTGCCAGCCATATTTTGAATCTAATAAACACACATTTTCTGAAACTTCTTACAAACAAGTAAATAAACAAAGTAAAAAAAAACTTTAACTACTCCTGTCTTTAAGGATAAAGTTGTCTTTCACTTTAACTTTTGCAAAAACCTGTTGTCAAAGATAAAGTTGTCTTTCATTTCAACTTTTGAAAAACCTGTTGTCAAAACAACATTTCTATAACAGTCTTGCAGTTTTAGTTGGCTAAAAACTATTATTTTTTCAACTCTTGAAATCAACGAGTACTTGTCTGAAACTTGTTTTCCAGCTTCCTGGAAAGCAGCATCTGTCATTCCTGTTTTTTAAAAATTATGAAGGATATTCTAATCCTTCCAACTTATCATTCAATTAATCTTTTTTTTTTTTAAATTCAACAAATTTACTACAAAGAAAAAAAGTTTAAGAGCAAGAAAATAGTTGACAGAAAAACTGTGAACTGTATAAACTGGAATAACAAGAAAATGACAGAGAATTTACAAGAATTGATGTTTAATAAAAAAGTAGGCGAATAAAAGTTTTTTAAACATAAAGGATTAATTAAAGTAAAAGATTGTAACTTGACAAGTTGCTAAATGACAAGTCAAACATAATTAAATTTTAATTGAAGGAACCTAAAATGAAAGCTTGCTTGAGCAGCAATCATTGAAGTAATTATATAAAAAAAAAGAGATGCAACATTATAACAACAAGACAGAGGCTCAAGCTTGGCTGCTAGAGCATTTCTAACTACAAACTTTATAATTATTTTTTGGACCTTGCCTAAACAAAAAAAAGCATCATTAGAAAAGGAAAGATTACACTTAAGATCAACTGCCTCTTCAAAATAATAAAATAGCAGGCTTTATTTTAAAGCATAAAGCTGGTGGCAATTTACATATACAATTTTACGTATGACTACAGTAATTTCCATAAAGCGACTTTTTATAATTTTTCAACTTTTAAGTTATTCTATATGCAGTAAGATAAAAGAAGTAATTAATTTTATAAAAAACCACAATAACTTTTGAATGACAATTATGTAAAAAAATTTGAATGACAATTATGTTAGATACAAGCGCTATCTACTAATGAAAAAAACTCAAATAAAATTAAAAACTTTGAAATCTTAATTAATTAACAACAATTTTTTTATGTTTACGAAGTTACAAAATGAAATGTAAACAAAAAAAAAATTAAAGAAATATATAATTATATATAATATAAATAATTTAAATATAAATTATATATAATATAAATAATTTAACTATTTAATAGGTTATTTGAAAAAAAATGTTGAATTTTTAAAAATTCTTTTGTTTACCCTTACTGACCACAGGAACACCTGTGTCCTATGCAAGAAAGCATGTTAAAAAAAATTTTTCTTCTTTAAAACAACTTTTTTTTATTATAAGTCACCTATATTTAATAATTTAAGAACATTTTCAACATAAAAAATGGGCTCAGTTTCTTGTGGGCTTTAAAGAGTTAATATAAATTTAAATAATATAAAATAAATTAATAAAAAAAGAGTTAAATTTTATTTTATATTACCTTTATTATGTTATGTCATTTTATTTTCATTTTGTTTTTATTTTATTGTAATGATTGATTTTTTTTTTGCTTGAAAAACGCTAACACATTAAGCTTGAAGCAAAGCTCATAATATTATAACTTAATTCTGATAAAAAAAAATATGATTTAATTAAAAACTAATTTAATAAAAATATCCAGTTTTATTCTAAAAAAAATTTAATTTAAATTTAAAAAATATATAATTTAGTTCTGTTTAAAAAATATATTTAAGTCTATTAAAATTAAAGTTAATACTTAGGTCTAACTTAATTTTAAAATTTATTTAAAAATATTTTAATAAATGGTATTTGGAAAAATAATCTTTGCTTTCACAACAAAATTGCTTTTAATAAATTTGCTTAAAACAAACATTTTTAAAAATGTAATACTAAATTATTTAATACAGGGGTGTACACTCGAACTTTTGGTTGGTTGCCAGAAGGGTGGCTGAAAATAATCAGTTTGCTAATTTTGGTCACCCGCTAACCTTTTAAGTTGCCTGTTACAATTTTTTATAAAAATTTTTGCATTTCTCTGAGTTCTCGCACACTTTATTCATTTTTCCTTCTAGAGCTAAATGTAGACTAGAATTTAAGTAAATAAAAGTAATCTTGTAAACCATTGAAAATACTCACTTTTCTACTTTCAGATAAAGCACATGCTAATATATACGCTATTAGATTTTTACTTAAATTGAGCGCTTATTTTATATAAAAAATAGGTGTTATTTTTTACAACAACAAAGTATGGACAAATATAAAAAAACAAATTAACAAATACTTTAAAACTCTTTGCTTTTAATGTGTTGTAATTAAAATACAGCATTTTAATTAAATTTAATTTCAAACCGCATTAAAAATCATTTTAACTAATATAAAAAGTTAATAGAATGTTTCTATAATTAATATTTTATTAAGTATTTTAAAAAATTATAATTACTTATAAATTATTTCTTTAAACAATCTTACATTATTTTTTGTTTATTACAATTTATTTATTTATTAATATCTATCTATAAATTGTTTATAATAAAGATTATAAACAATTTAAAGATAGATTTTATCAGTTACCCATAAGATATTTGTAAACATTTATGCTCATAAATTTATTACATTAAAAGAGCTTTACACGATATTGAATTAATAAGAAACAAAAAATTATAAACATATTTGTGAAAAGAATTGTTTTAAACAAAAATACTTCTCTTCACAAATTTTTTTATTTCTTTATAAGAAATAAAAAAATGTAGTTTGGTTTCACATATTCTAATCTATGATAATCTATGGTGGAGAGAATTATGTGTTTTATAATGAATTAGCAGATGATAAGAAAAAAATTTCTTTAATCAAAATTGCAAAACTATTTTGCGTTCCTTTGTATTTTTGCATTCAACGATTTACTAATTTATATTCTTTTAAAACTAAATCCAAATTTCTAAAATCATATATTGAGGTTTTGAATTTTAGTTTTTATTATTTTTCTATTTTTGACTGAAAAGTTTCTTTTCAAAAAAAAAAATATTTCAAAAATAAAAATGTGAGCACAAATAAGAATAAATTACCACAGACTACCACACAGATTACCACACAGACCTAAATTTGCAATAGCAAATTCATGTTTTTGCTATTACAGATTCAAGTATAAATATAGTTTGAGGTATAAATAGAGCCTACAGCTTTAAAAGATTAGGCTGTATTTTACGTGTAATATTCACACTCATCATATCTATATGCTTAATTACTCATTCACATTAATATTAATTTAGATTTTCAAACCATTTAAAAATGTGTTTATTAGTCTTTTTATTTTAGTTTTAAATTTTAATGTTTCCATGGATATATAAAAAACACAATTTTCCTAAAAATGTCATTTAGGCAGAACTATTTCTTAAGTGACATTATATAGATACTGGAAATCTAGACCCAATTATCAATGTATGTTCTTAACCCCAGGAGTTAAAATAGGGGGGGGGGAGGAAATGGTTTTCCTCCTTAGCTGAAAATCACAAAATCGTTCTGCTTTTTCTTATTTTTTTATGAAACTGTTCCACCGTCATATTTTTGAGAGGTTTTTTTCAATGAGATTATCCATAAGTTATGTAACGCTTACTTTATTACATAAATAATCAATTTATTCCATCATCAAGATCAATAGCAAAAAATATTATCATTGATGTTCATCAGCATTAAAGGTCTCTACTAAAGAATAAAAAGGAATTCCAACTAAAGGAGTATGCAAAAAAACAAGTAAATTTTAGTAGTTGAACAGCTGATTGCAAGGCATTAAAGGTCCTCTACTAAAGAATAAAAAGGAATTCCAACTAAAGGAGTATGCAAAAAAACAAGTAAATTTTAGTAGTTGAACAGCTGATTGCAAGGTAAGACCATGTAGAAAAGTAAATAAACTAGTAGGAATAAAATCATTTTGAATATTGCTATAGTGTTTCAAAATAATTATAACATTTATATAACATTACAACATATAATTATAACTTTGATAATATTGAATACAATTATTTCTTATTTATGTTATTGCGTTTCTATTTTTACACCAGAACTTAGCTTTATTTCAAACCATTTTTCCCTAATATAAACATTTAATTTAAGCATTTGATATAACCAAATTGTAGACAAAAAAAAAGTAGTTTTAGTCATCACCAGAGACCGTAAAATACAGCTAAATTGCACCTAACAAAAATGAACAGAATTTGCCTGAATAAAGGATTTATTACAACATCTGAATGAAGGATTTATCACATCACCTGCATTTGTTTACTTTTTTTAGGAATAATTAAAACTAGTAAGTAGTTTATACTTTATCATTATATTTTATCAGTACATTACATAATGTAAACTTTTTATTTAAAACTCTAGCACAAAAAAATTTATTAACAATGCATTTTTTGCATTAAAACTTGTCTCTTAACAATTACTCTTAACAAAAAACTAACAGAACTGACAGAATACACACTTTCCAATAGTTGCAATTTTAAAATTAACTCTGTTTTTTTTTAGTCACAATCATAACAATTTTTTCACTTGAACTTAAAATTTTCAAGATAAAATTAATAATACAAAATTTACTAAGACAAAAAATGTTTGGTGTTTATAAGTTATTTATTAAGAAAAAATTGGGTAAAAAAAAACGATATTAGGATTAAAGAGAAAGAAAAGAGTAGGTGAATATTAATAAAAAACGTACTAAAATACAGTTCCATGATTTTTAGAATTTAACGTGAAAAAAGTAAAAAAAAAACGATGAAAGACCTTTGTAAATCAAAATTATTAACCATTAGAGATATTAAAGTATATATTTTTAAAAAATTATCAGTAAAATAACTTAAAACCATTTTTTTTAATCTAAAACAAATTTATTTATTTAAACAAAACTATGAAAGTTAAATAATATAAGCAAAGGCATTTTACCTCTTCGTCTTTGTTTTTGTCATTTTTTTGACTAAAACTGTCTATGATAGGAGTTTTTGCATCTAGTATGGGCTTACTTTCTTCGCTTATAGAAATTTGTGAGCTTTGATTTTCATTTACTAAATTATCATCGAGTTCATTTTTGGGAGTCGTTTTATTAATATTTGAACCAAAAATATCATGCTCATCATCGTCCGCCATTTCGCAAGCCTTTAAGGTCACGTGAGTAAATAAAATTTTGACTTTAAATTACAATGTTATCCAATGAATATTCAACAGAATAATCAGTTAGGTACGCACACTACCTACACGCAATTGGAAATATAAATCTAAAGTATCGCTTGGAATCATTTAGAGAAAAAAGTTAATTTACTCAGCAGCTCTTTAATAGTCACTTACAAAATAAGCCTTTTTTTTTAATAATTTAAAATAATCGAAAAATACAAATAATCAAAAACTACATAAACCTCATTATACAAACGTGACATTAGACTCAATACGTTTTAAGATTACATTTTAGTATTACAGTTAAACTTCTATATTTTTTTAAAACAAAATAAGTTTTGAGACATTTTTTATAATAATTCTGATAAAACCATCTGCGGCAGCCGCCAAAGTGGCTCGCCCATAACTAGTCACTAGATCACATAATGGAAAGTTGTCGGCTGGCGGATGCTACTAATGGTTCACTTTGTAACAGATGAGCAAAACGCTGAAAAACCACTCCAATTACCTATAAAGGTCCATTGCAAATCCACAACAAAAATGTTGTAAAAAAAGTGTAAAATTAAAACTGAAGCAAATACAAATTATGTAATAAAATAAGCTTAGACATTATTCAACTTTTGCAGTTTATCTTACAAGGTTTTTTACTGGGAAAATAATACTTCATTACATTCTTAAAAGGAGCTTCGTGCTAATTTTTTTTTGAATCCATGAACAAAATGTATTAGCAAATTTAATCATTTGATTTATACTATTGTAAATCATTGATTTATACTATATTAAATTAACTTTAAAATAAAATAAATTTTTTCTTTCTTAGTTTGTCCTTTGTTTAATTGCTAATTAAAACATTTGATAAAAAAAAATTTACTTTGCTCAACTATTATATTAAAATTGTTTGATTCGTTTACTTTAATTTTTGTGTGTGTGTGTTTTCTACATTTTAAAGAATAATAAAACTTACCATAAAATTACACTCCGCTAATAATAAAAGCAGCTTATAGAAATCAAAAATTTTCTTGAAAAAAATGGTCTAGAAAAATTATTTCCAACTAATTTTTGAAAAATATATACGTAATTAACTTTTTACAAAAAAAATAAATTCATATTCTATAACGAATTGATATAATATAAATATAAACCGTATTATATAATGATTCAAGGTGTGGATACCGCAACTACCAAAAACATGTTAAAATAATATTTTTTTAATTATATTATATAAAAAAGTATTTATTAACAATCACTTTATTTATCTTAACTAAAATTCAACATAAATAAAAGAGGAAAAAGAAAAACAAGTAAAAATTGTTTAAAATAGAAGATTTAAAAAAAAAAACTAATAAAGTGAAAATAATTAAAATATTAAAGAATAAAAATTGAAAAAAAAACAAACATTAAATAAACAGAACAACTAAAAGCAAATTTAAAAAAAAGGGCTGACGATACGGGGGGGGGGGGGGAGGGGACACATGCCCTCCCCCTCACACACACACACACTTTTTTTCTAGAGGACTTTTTTTTTTTTTTAAGAAAAGATTTTTTAAAGAAATTTTTTTAAGATATAGAGGACTTTTTTCGCAAATTGATGATTGTGCCATTGTGCCCCCCCCCCCCCCCTACCACTTCAAAACCGCCCTGAAAGAAAAAATTTTTGTGATATATTCGAATATAAAATACTTATTCAAAGAAAACAAAAAAAACAACCATTAAGTTTTTATTAATTTATGTTTATATTGTCGTGTATTTTTGTGTATTGTTTATAATGTCGTGTATTTTTGTGTATTTTTTACATTGTCGTGTATGTTTCTATGTTTTATTTATCCTATCGTGTAATTTTGTGCGCCGTATATATTTATCTGTTGATTGTGTATTGTTTATATTGTCGTGCATATTTTTTGTGGTGTTGTTGCTAATTATTTTTATTATTGGTTACGTTTTATATTAGTTGCTATTCAAGTGATTTCATATTTTTGTCTCAAAATATTTAAATATATCCTTTTTGTCTTCTTTCTTTCTTTTCTATCATTCTTCTGATCGTTAAATTCATTCATTATTTCTTATGTCACCTCATTCACTTTTTCCTTTTTTTTTTGTGTTATTAGTCTGGCTTTTTTAATAATTATTGTTTTTCTTTTTATTATGATTTTTTTTTTATCACTATCTATATTACTACTTTTTGTTGTTTGTTTGTTTTTTGCTTTATTTGTTTATTTTATTAAGGTGTCACTCCAATGACTAGTTTTTGACTATATGAGTGAAACCGAACCTAATTTTGTAAAATTATAAATAAATCTGTAATTTTGTAAAATTATAAATAAATTTATATTATAACTGATTAATGAATTCTGCATATAAAGGTATAGTAAAAGATTATGAAGGTGGAAATAATACATTTGGTATAAATCTTTCGCGTAAGGCCGAAGTACAATTTCCTCAATCCTTAAGACAATTAAAAAACGACTCAATAAAATATTTAAACATATAACTCAAAAGTTATATGCTAAAATGATAATGGTTTTTAAAGGATGTTGGTACATCCTTTAAAAACCGTTTCCAAAATAGAATACAGAAAAAAAAACTGCATTTTGTTATATTTATTTGTTATTTACATTAAAGTCAATTTAATAATTTTATCTAATAACATTTGCTTGATACCTTTGGATCTGATCTTACAAGACGATAGTGTATCTGATTCAAAAGTGTTTGACCTTGAATTTTCACCGTATGTTTAAGTCTAGAATTTCTTAACTGTTTATTAAAACTCTCCAGTGCTTCTTTCAAATATACCCATAATAGATAAAGATAGTTAATGTGATATAGGAGGACTATGCAGTTGAAGTTTGAGTACAGTAGGGGTATAACATACCAGTCGTATAAACTTAATATACGTTTAACTGTTTCTGTGCAGTATAAATCTAATTCATTGATAGTAATAAAATATTCATATGATCATGAGAATATTATGCAATCTTTTATTTATGTCACAATTAACTTTAGTAATTTCAGAAAAAATTCATGATTTTTACGTGTACTTCTAGCAGTATTGCTGTCATTGCTATTGCCAAACCCAGGTTTTAGTATGCCAACAGGTAGACTTTTTTGTTCTCCAAAATTCTCTTTTTTTCTAAGTTTACAGATGATTTCTCCTCGACTATTTTTGTCTTGTACTTTTTAGTTTCTATTTCATAACTCAAAGAAAAAATAAACTACAAGCACTTTATCAGTGCAAAGCTGAAACTCCGAGCGCCAAAATTGACTCAATTTTCATTTTTGCTTTTACTAAATCAATATTATTCATTCCGTTGAGTCTAGCATTGCACTAATTGATAGGATTGAATGGATTTTGTCTCTGTAAGTGGGTTTACCACTAGATTATCAAAAATTGGAAGATAAACCCTATAGCTGATAATAAAGGTCACCAATATTTAAGACTCTGCACAAAATTTTTAATTTAGCTAATTGATTTTTTAGATCTGTTTCTTTTTCTCTGGATAATATTAGACTCTTTTTTTTATATTGTAGATAAAAAGGTCTTGAAAAAAAACACTTGAAGGATTTCCGTTTTTACAAATTCTGGCATCTTTTACTTTAAGCATTAAATGCACAAAAGCTGTACTGAAAAAGCTTTCTTCATGCTTAAGTTATATAATTGTATAGTTTGTGTCATACTTCTGCTTATAAACAGGGCCGGCTCAGACCGCATACGAGCAATGCGGCCGTGTGAGGCCTCGCGACTAAAGGGCCTCGCATTGCTCTGTGGAAAGCTATATAAAGAGGTATATATCTATCTTTAGCTTTCTAAAAAGGCCCTGCGGGGCCCTATTAGGCGGAATTTTTTTTTTAAGTTTTATATTTAATAATCAAAATAAAAAAAATAATGTGCATATGTATTTTTGTTCAAAATAATAACTAGTCAGACTATTGAGTATTTATACATTATATTTTATTTATATATGTTTATATATATATTTTATTTTTAAAAGAAAATTATATATAAAAACACGATTTTACCCTCGTACATTAGTACTCTTCAACCCCTCTTTTTTTTTAGGTTTTCATTGAAGGCCTCGCAAACTAAACTCGCGTCGGGCCTCGCGCTTGCTCGAGCCGGCACTGCTTATAAATAATTTGGCTCCATCAAAACCAATCTTTCAATATAAAAAATCTTCGATTGTTTCGTTATTTGACCATGTTCCGGCAAATAAACCATTTCAGATGTTTTACTATGTGACATAACATGTTTTGAAAAGTACTCTTGGCAGAAATCTTAGAATTCAGGATAGCATTTCAATTTTCCAACAAAAATATCGTGCAAGGTAGAATAAGTATGTACATTATGTACAACGCTAGAGTTCAAGATTTTGATTATTTGGTATCGTTTATCGCTAAGATAATTTTTAATTCAAAAGATTTTTTTACACTCATATTTTATAGGAAAGGTTTTATCCAAAGTGTCATCAACCTTTTTGATCTCCAAAACATTCACATATTACTTTTTTTAAATGTAGCATTACTTTTTTCCTCCAGAAGCGTTTATACTTTTTAAAGAAACTAAAAATAGAGTTTCATGGTGTTCAGTGGCTTATTCTTTTATCTTTTTCCTTTAGCTTTGCTCTCAAAGAACCCCTTATTGTTTGTGGGGCTTTCCTGAATAAAAAAAACACAATTGATTATAAGATTACCTTGAAGCCAATGATATATTTTAATATATCATAACTTCGGCCACGTTGTTTTAGTTTTTTCTTTGAAATAAATTTAACTAAAGCAACTTTATTTAAATTTTCTAATAATAAATAATAATAAATAGCTAATTTTAAAGTATTTTTTATTTTGTTAAGTAAATCCGTCCATAATCGTAATCTATCCACTCCTAATTTACGTATATTTGGGATAAGATCTAACCTTTTCATTTTTTTTTTTGTTTTAAAGAAATAAGTCTTTAAAAAAACTTTTTAAGAATCATCAATATAATAAAATCTTAAATAAATCAAAAACATTTTTTAGGACTTTATATATATATCTTTTATTTTACACTGTTTACCATTTTGTGGTGTTAATACACTATTTATTTTCGTTTATACTCATATTGACATGTCTTGAGTTTTGAATTTTTTGAAAAGAGTTTAAAGCTTTGTTTCGAAAGGTTAAAAAGCAATTTTAATGCACTGCTTCCGACTCTGTCTAGTTTTTGCATGATCACGTCATTGTTCATTGATTTTGCACGATTCGTGTCATTGATTATTTCATATGTAAATTGCTACTCCTCCTCCTCTTTTATTTACATTTTTACTATAGATAATGTAGAATGTGTTATACGTATGACCGGTGTAGATTCGTAGCTTATAATTAGAATTAATTTTAATCCAGGTTTCAATCATTAACATCATCTTAATCATTAACATCATTTCAATCATTAACATCATGTCAAAATCGGAGATGTTTAATTCTTGGTATAAATTCATTTCGTTTACAAATAAAAGTAGTATTTATAACATCATTTACTAAATAAAAAATAAAAATAAAAAAAATGCCTAAATGATTTAGGCATTTTTTTCATAGTTATTTTTAGTTACAGAAAAATAATGAACGAACAATGAACACTGGAAAAAAAATATTCTTTTACCGTATCAAAAATTTAATAAAAAATGCAAGATATTCCTTGTTTTTTTACTTTTTTTTAAAATTCAAAATATACATATTTAAAAAATCGCAGTCGAAATCTATCGTAAAAAGTTGAATATTTTATTTTTGTTTCTTTTCAAAGAAACTTTCCGCTAATGCATCTTTGCCTTTCTTTTACCGCCAATTTTGCGACATCTCAATATCCACATATGTTTCAGCATATATGCGGCAACTAAAAATATATTAGATGGATAAGAAAAATCAAAAATCAAACATGGCGCCAAGTTTTGGAGCAACTTAATAACTTTTGGGATAAAAAAACAACAAAAAAACTGTAAAAACACAAACATTTATCAAAAATATCATTATAAACATCATAATTAAAAAACATTTTTATAAACTTAATTTATTACATTATTTTGGGAAACATATCTATATCTAATCTAGAAAAAATAATAATATAAAATAAACATTTAATTATTATTTACTTATTGATTACCTGAAAAATGTTTCATTTCATACTTCAGTTTTAAGCGTCCGTTGCATAACAGCTATGCAAAATATCAAAACCTATTGATCTTTCCAAGACTTATTCAATTTTAATATTTTTAAAAACCTCATTAAAATACTTTTTTTTTTGCAAGAATAGAAAAAGACAAACGAAAAAAAATAAATAATGGTACATGCAATAGTACATTTGCGTTAATAGAGTTTGATGATAAATCAAGCTTCACGCAAATAACTGAAAAATGTCTTATAACTCACTAGTCAAAGTCACTTCTGCACAGCTGGAAATAATATCAATACTTCCGAACAAGTAATCTAATATATAGATGATATGTTTAAACAAATTTGATCATCAGCAATTACCACATTGGAAAAATCACCTAATGATATCATAAAGCTTAGCTAAGCATCCATTAAAAAACAATAATAACAGCTAGACTTGATAATAATATCAAGTCTAGCTGTTACTAGCATGTTTTAAAACCAATTTATAAAATTACAATTTTATAATAAATCATATTTAAAATAAATTAATGGTCCACTTAATACCGACCGTTCACTAAATATGGAAATTAATGCTCCGCTTAATACCGACCGTTCACCAAATAAGGAAATTAGAATCTACTTTAATTAATCTAACAGGATTCAGACTAGTTTTATACAAAAACTAATGCTTAATTAAAAAATCTTTTAGAGCAACTCAGGCTTCTAAAGCCACCATTTTTAAATAACAAGACGACACAAAATAAAACAGACAACGCAAGAACTTGAACTAACCAATCATCTTTTGATTGAAAGGGAAAACTCAACTTATCTTATTGGTTTTTTTATTTTTGAAGACAAGTTTTAGTAATAAGATATAATAAAATAATATATCAAAAGACAAGTTTTTGTATTACTAATATATCAAAGAAAATCAATGAAACATCAAGCCTTTGACAAAAAATCTCAAAAACTACTTAAAACTTTATTACCTCAAGACATTGAAGCTACTGAAAAATGCAATTTCAGAAAAATTTCCAGAAATCTACAAAAATGACATTTCTAAATTTGATTTGATTTGATCAACATGAACATATCAAGCAATGTCAATGTCAAAAAGCAATAGCAAAAAACAACATCAATTTTGTTGGAGTCCAATTACATTTAAACAAACATCTGCTGTTTATGCCAGAAGATCCTTCTACCAGAAGAGCTTGAAGAACATTCAAAGGTCTGAAGACAAACCACAAGTTTGTAACTGCTGAATCAATCCAAAGCAAATCCAATAAGGACAAAAATGCAATAAAAGCTTATTTGATTAGAATGTCGAATCTCTTGATTTTAGGGTATTTTGATGGTTAAAATAGTTATATTACCTTTTGGTGGGAACTTCTACAACTTAAAATACATAATATCAATCCTAAAATGCTTTACGTTTCTGAAAAAATTCTGTTTTTAGAACTCAAACAGTACGCTATTGATATTTTTATTCCCCTGGTCTTTTTATTAACCACAAAAAAAAAAAAAAAAAAAAAAAAAGGGTGGGGGTAGGATTTTTTTAAATATACCACCACCCCTAATCTCGTTTAAAAAAATTTCTTACTTGGGCAAAACTGAAAAAACGTTTATGCTTTTGCCATGTGTGTTCATTAGGGAGATGCTATTATTATTTTCCCATGAAACCTTTTCCACAATATGTATAATTTTATTTTAAGGAAAGTTTGATAAAAAATAATCAGATAATTAAAATATTATTAGGACAAAAAAAAAAAAAAAAACTTTACAGAAAATAAAATACTTTTTGAAAAATATTACCACAGTTTTTTAAATTAGCTGGGTGCGTATTCACCAAACTTTTGTAACTGTTGCGCAGCTCTACTAAGGTTACGAAAACCGTTGCGCTGAACTTATTAAAATTAAGTTACATATAATTTAAATATATTAAGATCCTATTTTATGCGGTTATATTACTATTATAAGTTTATAAATTGATAATATTATACAAAAATAAAACAAAATTATTATGATATTATAATATACGATGTTTTATTACTATAATTTATAATAATATAATATCTTAATTATTAAGATGTTATTACGTTGATAAGTTGTTAAATTATTATGATGCATTTATATTTGCGTTAATATCTAAGATTTTTGTTAACTTTATTATAATATATTATATATTATAATAAATATTATACGTTATATATATGATTATTGATCATATATATTATTATTGTTAACTTTATTATAATATGTTATATATTATAATAGTTAACAATAATCATAGATATTAACACAAATATAAATACATCATAATAATTTAACATCTTATTAACTTAATAACATCTTAATAATTAAGATGTCATATTATTATAAATTATAGCATTAAAACATCATATCATAATATTATTTTTATATTTTTGTATAATATTATCAAATTATTATCTTATAATAGTAATATAACAGCATAAAATATGATCTTAATATATTTAAATTGTATACATTATATAGAATTAATATACGTAAATTGTATATATTATAATTTATAATAAGATTCTATATCAATTTGACAATATATGAATCATAATATTACACCATTTCTAATATTTAATGATTTTAAGGTTACAGTGAAGTTAAGGCAGCTCATAGCTAACGTAACTTTTCTTGCTTAAATTGAGCTGAGTTTATAAAAAGTTTGGTGAATACCATTTCAGCTTGGTGAATACCAATTTGTTGTGGCTAAACTTACCAAAAAACTTATGTAAGTTTTGTTAAACGCTACTGCGCAAGTTTTGTGAATACAAATTTCAAAGTTTTGAACTTACACCAAACTTATGCAAAAAAAAAAGTTTGCTCAATATGCTCCCTGAAGTTTAAAGCAAATAATATAAAATCAGCTTAACTATCATTAATGGAACAGGAATAAAGTAAATATTTTTCATTTTTTTTATTTAAGTTAAAAATATGTATCCTATATTAGTATTTACGACAGAAGTCATAAGTAAAAAAGCAATGATCAATGATCAAAACCATGATCATCATGTACAAAACAATTATGGAAACTTATAATTTCAGCTGCTTATTGATTAGACATTTTCAAGACTATTCTATACATTCTTGGCTGCTATTAAGATCTAGTCAATACATGCTCTGCACCATCATCAAGTGCTTTTATGTACAGTCATCAGGTGCTGTTATGTACCGCCATCAAGTGCTGCTATGTACCTCCGTCAAGTGCTGCAATGTACCGCCATCAAATGCTGATTAAGTACTGGTGAAGTTTGTTTAACTTGGTCCATTGAAGTTAAACAAAGTCAAATAGTGAATATTCAATAAACATCGCAACTTAAGTTTAACAAATAACTATTTGCTATTTTTTTAAAATTAAAGCACTACTTTTCTGTGCTTAGTGCTGTTATGTACTGCCACCAAGTGCTTTTATGTACTGCCACCAATTGCTGTTATTTACTGCCATCAAGTGATGTTATGTACTGACATCAAGCACTGTTATGTATCGCCATCAAGAGCAATTAATAGTAAAGCTGACATCACAAAGAAACTAAATAAACTTGTGGATGCCTATAACCATGTTTAAGCTAACTGATATTCTTGACATGAATAGAAAAATAAAGTGCGAAGAACAAATATTTTATGATCATCATGTAGTTGATAGAAAGAATTGCGATTCTACTAGCGAATTTCAAGCTTCTCTTCTTCATATTCCATTTTGATAGAAAAGTTATTCACCTAATCATTATGACAATAAGAAAATAAGGCCATTATTGTCAGAAATTACAATAATGGCCTTATTTTCTAAAGTTATTAGCTGTTATTGGTCACATGTTTAAATTAAGAGAGAAACCTGATTAAGAAAATCACATCAATCTGCATTCAAGCCCAAGAAGCTCTGGTCAGATATTTTTAGAGTTAAAACTTCATTCTTAAATTTGAATAGAACAAATGAGAATTCTGAGAGAGGAGTCTGAGCTAATGATGCTATGATAATGCTTTTGAAAGACTTATGACAGGATCATTCCTTAAAATAGTCGATCAACAATAATTTAAATTAAATTATTATTATTTAAAAAATTAAACAATGTAGCAAACTTTATAAATTTAAATTATTGTTGGTCAGCCATTTTAATGTTAAATACATTAAAATGGCTGATTTAAATACATTAAAATGGCTGATTTGAATAGTTTTATTTTTTACACATTTAAAATATTAAATGTGTAAAAAATAAAACTATTTATAAATTTTTAGCAGACTTTTTTGTGATAGATAATTGTTTCTTCAGAGAAAGAATTACATATCATGCATCAGTTTTGTCTTATTTCTATAAATTAATTATTTGCGTGATAATAAAATTAATTTTTTTTCTTGTTGACCAAATAAAATTTGAAAATATTCAAATAGTTTTACTTAATTAAGTTTACAACTCTTCATGATTTAGAAAAGGCTTCATAACACTTTTAAAAAAAGTTATAACATCACAATAGTGCTCAAACATTCCCAATATTTTCTTTGAAGCCATAAGCTCCATAACTTTATTTGTCTGCATGCAGTATACATTGCTATTTTAAATTCACAACTGTTTTCTGGGTCATATTGGGAAACTGTGTCATGTTTTCACAAGTAGAAAACTTTCAAGGCTAGAAAATTTTAATAACGTTGTAAAAAGTTAGCTTTTGTGGCCCTAAGCCCTTTTTGTGACTGTGGCTTAAACTTGAAAATTTAATACTTTTGGATTAAATAATATTCTACATTTCATTGTATAGCAATAATCTATATAATCAGCCTCTGATTTTATTTGTCTACTTTAATTATATATTAAAATTATCTATTTGTAAACCTATCAAAATAGTTAATAATATTTATTATTATGTAAAATAATTAATAGTATTTTCTGCTCATACAAAAGAACCAAAAAAATGGGTAGTCAGTAAAATGCAAACTGCGAACCGGTAAAATGCAAACTTTTTTGCGAACCAAGGCATATTTTAATGACCACTGATATGATATTTAATGAAAACTCTAGCTCATCAATTTTTTAATTTAAATTAAATTTATTTATAAAATGTAATTTGATATATTTTATTTAAATTAGATTGTATTTTTTTTAAGATATATATTATTTATGTAAAATAATCAATTTAACGGTAAATGGAAAATAAAAAATATTACATCATTAACAACCAATAGAACTATGGTTTGCAAAAAAGTTCGCATTTTACCAATTCGCAGTTCGCTGTTTGCAGTTCGCATTTTACTGACTATCAAAAAATGATGCGAAAAATAAAACATTCTTGTGAGCTCAATCAAGATATATAAAACAAAAAAACAAATGTATTTTTAAAATGTAATTTTAAAATGATTTTAACATTTCAATTAACTATGTAAAATTATTGAATAAAAAAACAATTAAATGTTTTTTAAATTTATAGACTAATGATGGTATTATTATTAAAAAAATACAGCATTTTAAAAATGGACATTTTTATAGAGGACATGTTTATATTTACTTACTTCAAGATCATCAAAGCAAAATGAAACACAGAATTTTTCAACCATTTAAACAACTTTTTTAAACTTCTTATCTAGCCCAGCAATAATAAGATTTTGTCTTTTTAATAAAAAACTAGTTCCAAACAAACAAAAAAAGCAATAACTTGAAAAGCTCAGATACTAAATTTGTTTCTTTTAATCTTAGTTTTCATTTATTATTAAAATCTTTATACTTTAAAAGTTTTTATTACAAAATATTTATAATTAATAACATACTTATTAAAAAAATTAGTAACCTTCAAGTTATATATGCACTGAAGCTCTTACAGACAGTTATTTCAGTATAACATCACTGTTGACACACAGACACACATATATATACACACAAATACATACATACAAGCACATTTGCATATTCTAAATAATAAAATAAAACTAAAACTTACATGGAACATAAATGCAAAGTAAAATTTTGAGAAAAATAGATAGACTGAATGAAACATTAAGAGCATTGGGTAAGGAACACCACCACCTTTTTCGAATATCAGCAAGCTCAATTGATTGGTATATAAAAAGTACTAAAAAGAATATAACATAAAATAGTAAAACTTAACAAGTAATAATAAAAATAAAAATGAAAAAATAACTAAATTATAATTAAATTTCATTGTTTTTTAAAAAATAGACTAGGATCTTTTTTATTCTTTTAATTCAGAAATTTAATGTTTTTTTTTTTTTTTTTAAAATTCAATTGTTTTTTTTCATTTTTGTTTTATCAACTAATTTTTTTTTTTTTTTAATGTTTTTAAACTTTTTTCAGTCTTCTATATTTTTTTCTAATTTAATTTTATTATTATTATTAAATTTTTCTAATTTATTCTGATTTTTTTTAAAGAAAAACATGCTTAAACTTTATGGATGACCAAGTAATGGTGTGTATATATTTACCCATAAGTGTATATATATATATATATATATATATTGAGGTTTAGTTTAGCTTACGGTGGCTTAGTAAACGATGTTGTTAGACAAGCAATTGATGTTCAGTGGACAAAGAGATTTTTTAATGCAATTGCAGGTTTTTTTTGGTAACTTTATATTACCATATAAAATATTTTTGTTTTGTGAGTTGGTGATAGGCAGTTGATGATAGAGAGTTGATGATAGTCCACTGGACAACAATTGCTTGTCTAACAACATCATTTACCAAGCCACTGTAAGCTCAAATAAACCTTAATACAAAGCTAAGGTATACTTTGCAATAAGTGAAACCACTTTTAAGCTACGTTATGCAAACCATCTAAAATGGTTCAACATAAAAAGTACAAGAACAAAACTGAGTTATTGAAGGAAGTATGGGAATTAAAAGATAACAATTTCATATCTTCAATCAAATGGAATATAATTAAATGCTGTAAATCATACAATCCTGTGTCAAAAATTTGTAAGCTTTATTTAAATGAGAAATTTGAAATATTTTTTTTTACAAAGGAGACAACCTACTAAATAAAAGAGGCGAAGTAGTTTCTAAATGTAAACACAAAAATAAATTTCTCCTTTCATTATTTGATAGCGGAGATTAGTTTTCCATTACGTGTTCTTGTACTAAAACGCCAGAACTCATTCTACTGTAGTTTGTAATTTTTAAACGGTTTTTTATATTTTTGATTTTGTACTTCATGGCTGATGATTGCCGATAGGCATGAAACTTTAAGTTCCATTAAAAGTTGTTTTTTCTATAAATAAGCGTATATATATATATTTTTCTTTATTTTACAAGATGTTTCAATAAAGACTCATCAGAAATGAATGATCAAAGTAATAATCTTTATTATATACCAAAAATTAAATTACAGCATTAAGTTTAAATTAAAGTTTAAATTATATTAAATCAAATTAAATTAAGTCATAAATGTCTTAACTACTGCAAAAACACATTTGTGGAGTATGTTGACACTTTTTAAAAATTTTTCCCCCTTTTAAAAAAATATATTTAAAATAAGTAGAAGTAAACAATTCTGAATAGAAAAATAGAAAAAAAAAATTAGGTAATGTTGCAGAATAGCGGCGTAAAACAATTTAATTTTTAGAATAAACAAATGGATTTTTTTTTAAATAAACAAATGGAATATTTGTTGGCTTCAGTATATACATCGACTATCTTATAGTCTGCTGCTACAAGAGAGTGCTGTTACATAGACTGAAGGTTTGGCATGGGGTAGCAGTCTTTTATTTTTATTAATATTCATAATGTTTAAATAGCCTCTAATGACAAAAGTGTAACAAGTGAAAATATAAAATTATTTTATGCCGCTATTCTGCAACATTATCAAAAATTGTTTATAAAAATAGGAAAAAGTATCTTGATAAAAAAATTTTGCTATATAGCTAGTAGCTTTAAAAAACCTGAGATTATTTTTCTAGTGATCAAATGTCTGACTTAAGGTCAGAGCCAGTGTTGGAACCCAACATAATGTTGAAGTTAGAGCTAGGTATGGGCCCATGTTATGCAGCCTGTTTGTTGGTCTTTTTAACTTTTTTTGTAAAAACTAATTACGATTATAAAATATTTAAATAGGCCCCAAAAAAAGCCTTTTAAGTGAGCTCCAAACGTAATGTTTGGAACTCACCCAAAAGCCATATATTATTCTGAAATGGCACTGAAAATACATCTTACATTATTGCCTAAAATGAAAACTAAACAATAATTTAAACAATAAAAAAGTTAAAATAAGAATAAAAAGTATATTTTGAAAAAGTCTAAAGAAACTTTTATAAACCAATAATTTGTACAACTAATTTATTTTAAATTAATTATTGAACTTTGGGTTGAATTCAGGGTTGAGCTTCTCTCACAAATTTGTCAACAGCTTTTCTCAAAAGAAGTCTCAGAAGTCTCTGAGACTTGACATCTTCTGAGAAAAATTGTTGATAAATTATTTATTTATTTTTTAATGTAATTTCACTCAGTTACGAATCCAGAGGGGGGTGGGATGAGGGTATTCCCTCTACTAGAATCTGAAAGTCCTAAAATATTTTAACAATGGAGGACCTTTTTGAAAAAAAATTAGGAAATGCAAATGCAATACAAAATACAAAAATATTTCAACATCCCCCCCCCCTCCTAAAAAAAAAGTAATTTCTGGATCTGTCACTGATTTTACTATATTTCATTTTTTTGTTTGTTTGTTTGTTCTAGAATATGTTGTTGATGATTAAAAAAACTTTACAGCATTTAATTAAAAAAATATTCTCAGAAAAACTTATTTGATGAAACTGATGGTTTGGCTGGATGGTTCAAGGTATATGTTATCAAAATGGTGGTGGTGTTGTAGCAGTCAAACTTGATTTAAAAAAAGACATAACCAGAAAAATTTGATTCTCTAGTGATAAGACTATCAGTTACTGTAATTTTTGGAATAAAAATTGCAGGCTATGCAGATTTGACATAAACTTTTATTTAGATATTGTATGATTTAAGATTAAAAAAGGTTTTTGTGTAATAGTTGTAGTTTGCATTGTAGCTGCTCAACAGATGGTAATCAACTAAATCAATATCATGTAAAAAAACAGCAGCTACAAATTAATTTATGCATCAGTCAAATTGGACTGATATGTCCTGAGATTGGTTTTGAAATTTTTTTTATAATGAAAATAAATTTTTTCATTTGCAGGAGATTGCTTTTAAAACATGTAATATATTAAATAATGCAATAGTATGCCTTTAATAATAAGTTTAAAATTAAATTATTTTTTGAAGAAAAAATGTTAAAACTATAGAAAATAAAGTTGCAAAAATGCGCTAAAAAAGTTCAAAGCAAGAGAAAATTATTATAATTTATAATGTTTTGTTTAACATCAAAACTTTGATCTTCTATTATTACCAAAAGGCTATTGAAAAAACAAACTTATTTAACATAAATATATTAGGAGATTTAAATGATTACCTTCAGATATCATTCCCATTGGATATAAAATAATCCATGCTGAATATCTCAACCATCCTAACAAATAACTTTTGTATTGATGCAGTGTAGTTAGGTAAAATGGATACCTGTAAAAATTATTAATAACAGTTAACAATAAAGTTAATACCTCTTTATTTATTTATATACTTGTTTTGGAATTAAAAATACAAAATAACTGTTTGTTCAATTCAATACTCTTAAAAACTTAACAGTAAATTAAACGACGAAAAACAGCAACCAAGTCAATAATAAAAAGTACCAAATTTTTTTGAAAAGTTTAGCAAGTCAAAAAAGTGAATGGTACCAGTGTAAAAATTCAAAGTGCAAGGTTTGTCTTTGTTTTTGGCTTTGTTGAACACGCATACTAAAGCTTAGATTGAAATAATAACTATGATATATTTGTAAATAGTTTATTTAGTCAGAAAATAAAAATTTAACAAAATTAAGTTCTCACAATTAAATTATCTGAAATTTAATTTTTACTTTATTTAATTAACTTATTTCTTTTATATTCAAACATTAAATTCAGTTTTAAAAGCTGTAACAAATACCAATAAAGGGATGGTAATGTCTATATATTGAATGAAATAAACATTCAGTATTTATTTGATTTGTATTTTTTATGTAATTTATTTTTAATATTATGTCCAAAGTACATCAATAAAACATTTGTAACGTTTGCTTTTTTTATAACTGTTAAAATGATGATAATTTTATTTTTAAACTTAAGTTGAACTCATTTAATTTAAATTCTCAAAGGATCATAAAATATGTTGGAATAACATATGTTTGGAATTACAGGAGATCAATTCTAAATATTAAACCGTAAAAGAACAGAAACATTGTTCAAATTAAATGATCTTTCAAATTATAGTAGTTTAAACTACAATAGTTCAACTTTAAACTTTATTTATGACATCAAAAAATTTCATAATTTTAATAAATATCATATGTATTATACCATTTACCTTATCTATATATCTAAACATGTTTTATAATTAATGTTTAAATGAGTACTTTTTCTACATATAAATTTTTTAAAGTAACAAGTAATTGATGACAGCAATTGATGATCAAATTATCAACTCAGTAATTGATGATTTGAGCGATGATCAGTAACTGAAGGTTATCAGAATACGCTTCCAAATACAGTCACTTGGATGTGCTTTTGCACTTTATCATTTCAAAAATGAGAGATTAAATAACAGGTATGAAAAACATGATACACAACCTGAGAATTGAAATAGAAAACTTGAAAGCAGAAGTCAAAGCAAATAAAATTACTGTCATAAGTACTACAAACCCATCTGCCAAAACATGCCAAAACATTTGCAACTGCTCTTATTGGAAACTCAACTGAACAAAAAACAACTCGAAATATACTAATAAACGGAAAAAAACAGAAGATTAAATGAAAGAAATGTTATAATTACAGACTTTGAACTTTCCGAAACAAATAATGATGATGAAAACAAAAAAGCTGTGATTTTTTAATTCAGCCGAAGTCTCATCGGTGAAAGTACAAAAAGTACAAAAGTTACTCATTAAACCAAAAATGCCAACCTTTCTTGAAAAGTCTGAAGATCAGATTAAAGTTCTCTCTATTGCTAGACACTACAACAGAACTAACATAAAGTATGAAAACATGTTTGTCAGGTAAAAACTATACACCAGAACAACAAGCTTAGTTCAACAAGCTAAACAAATTTCAAATTTGTTTTAGCAAAACTGATTTAGCTAAGGCTTTTGACAATGTACCACACAACAGACTTATACATAAATTGAAAGCTTACAGCATACAAGGAATGTTCATAGAATGGATCAAATTATGGCCATCCGAGCATCTACAGAGAGTTACAAGTGGACATGAAAAATCTGAATTGAAAAAAGTAACAAGTCCTCGTAGTCATCAATGTTTTAAGCTTCTTACTTTTTGTGATATACATAAACAACCTACCAGACAACATTTCCAACTATTTATAACTTTATGTAGATGACAGAAAAATAATGACAATCCTTGCAAAACAATATTGACAAAGCCGTTGAATGGACTAAAAAATTTTTTCAAATCTTGTGGTAAGTGTAAATTAAAAAATAAATCAACAATTACAAAATAAATGTTAGACCAAGATTGACTTTGTTATCCCTTAAAATGTACCACAGCCAAGTGTGACCACAATTGAGTGTGACCTAGTTATTTTTGTGTCTGATGATTTAAAATTAAGATTACAAGTAGATGCAGTAGCAGTAAAAGTAAAGTGGAAAATAAGTGTGCTAAAATAAGCATTCAGAGGACATGGTGTATTCCTCTGGCAAATATAATACAATTTATACATTCAACCTCATCTAGATTTCCCTAATCGATGGTCATCATTAGACATATCAGTTTATTGTTATGTCTAATGATGAAGTGCTTTTATAAGCAATCGCTTTTCTATAACTACCTCATTCTCATTCAAGCAATCACCTTTCTATAACTATATTAAGGTACTCCTAGAATACATAACACCTGATTCTTTTGAGAGAACCAGTGATAACTAACTTAACTCCACTTGGCACAACAAAGCATGAACACACTACTAATTTGTAGAATTACAATCAAGCAAACAATGGATTATACTAAGATATAAAATAATGTCTGAACCCATCCATCCATGGATTCATCCAGAATCCATATGTGGATTGGAATCCATCTGTGGATTGGAATGATCTATTTGCTAATAAATCAATCAATGAATGCTAATTAAAATTCTTAGATTAGCATTTAAAATCTACGAAATTTGAATGCTAATCAAAATCTAAGAAAAAAAAAAAATGTGATCCATAAAAAAGAGCTGTGTGAACGAATAACAACTTCTACCAAGCAATATGTTTAAATATTAAAAAGGTTCTATAAATACAAAAGATATGTATTCAAATATTTGAATATTCCCTTCCTAACAATAATGAAAACTCCAAAAAAATCAAAAATGATATTCCAACAATATGAGACAAACCCTTTTCTTACAGATCTTACAATAACATCAGCTTCTGCTGAAAATGCCTAAATAAAAGATTACCTAAATTAGACACTTGTTGTTAACCAATTGCCCATTTTAATTTTTTGTCAACATAACACCATTCATTAAAAAAGAAAATAAAGCTGATAATGCCAATTATAGACAAAGTTCTCTAATATCAGTAGCATGCAAGATAATGTTTTATAAAAATTCCCATAATAAATCATCTAAATGCAAATAAATTAATAAATCCAAACCAATATGATTTTGCTAATAACAAAGCTTAACATAAAAGCAAAAAAAAACCTCATAGAAACAATTTTTGTAACTGAATTAATTGCAAACAAAAATCCCGTTGATTGTTTTTTTTCTTGATTTTGGCAAAGTTTACAAAAAGATTATTAAATTCAAAAATGCACATACAACGTAAAATGGTGCAAACAATAAAAAAGTATTCCAGCTTGCACTAATCAAACTCACGACTCAGACATCAAAGAATTAGAAACTGTCTGCTTGTCAAATGATTGCATTGTTAAATGCAATCATTTAATAATACTAGGACTACTTCTACAAAATATGTATATTTTTAAAATAGATTTTTCAGTGTTTTCATAACCACTGTATTTTAAATTTACTTAATTAAAGATTTGGAGAAAACTTTTACTAATATATGGCCTTCCTAGCAAATATGTTAACTTCTAATGGCAACTATTTTGGCAACAGAAGTAAGTTTTAATGTATTTTAACCTTAATAATTTTGTTGATAAAAATGATGTTTTATACTTTTATAAGTTTTTAAGAGAAAAATTTTAAGTCTCACCTAATCACCTCACTAGCAGACCATGCAAGTATTAGAGGTACAAGTGCAAAGTTTGAGCGCAAACTCTTTTCAGGTACAATTAAAATAAACAAACAAAAGTTTCGCCCACAAACCTAAAATTTGATATAAAAAAAAAAATTCATGAAGATATGAAAATAATAGACTATTTTTATTCTTTTTTATTGACAACTTTTGTTTTGTTTTTTTACTTACTATTTATATTAACTTTTAAAATATTTTTAAAATAATAATAAGAAAAACCTGAATTAATGGAGCAATAATGCCTGTTCTAACAATCCTTAATAAGGGGTTTAATATTTCTACAAAAGTTGCTAATTGACATGTCAGTAAAAGCTCACCAACTTCTTCAAAAAGAAACAAATGTGCATCTAAAAAATAAACAAAAAACAGTAAAAAATAATAACAAAATGTTCAGTAAAGGCGTTCAAAATATAGCAGCCAGGCCTTGGCAAGAAGTGAGAGCTTAAGCTTTTGCCCACACTCCTTTAAAGTGGTTTATGGGAACAATTTATGGCTGTCACTAAAGTTTAATTTTTTCATAAATATAATCTACTTTCTTTCCTTCTCTTATTTTAGATATTGATTAGAAAAACTAATTTGTGCAAAATATAAAGTCAAAACTGTTTTAGCAAATATAAATGTTTTTGGAACATGTTGTATAAAAATAAAAAAAGCAAAGTTCAAGCTTCAGACTTATTTTGTTTACAAAATGTGATTGCTTTTTTTTTTTGAGTAACAGTATTTTTTTTTTAAACATATGCAGTGCGAAGAGATTTTTTTACCTAAAATATTTGGAGTGAAGAACCATGTAATATCATTATAACATTAGTAACAATATGACCAAATACTCTAAGTTGTTTATAAAAGAAAAACATTAACGTTGTATTTCAGATGAAAAATGCAAAACAGTCATTTTTGAAATAAACCAATAATTGCATTATAAACTGCAATGCTTCTTTAAAGGTTACTGCAAAAAAATTAAAAAAAACAAACCGCTAATTGAAATGCAAATGTTTTAAATTAAATTGGACTTACTGATTGGTTTCTTTAAAAAAATGCAATTATGAAATAATAAATTAGTAATATAATAAACTTTTTGTTAGTTTATGTCTTTTAATTAAAGTTATTATTTAAACTAAGTTTATAATATTAAACATTTAAAAAAATAAAACATTCTTTTTGAATGTTATAAATGCTTTTTTTTTTTTATTTTGCTCAAAATCATGTTTCAATTGGAGCAAAATAAAAAAATAAAATGCGCAATTAAATGTTCTGCTAAAAAAATTCCAATTATTTAAACTTATTGCAGAATCTTTTAAACTTTCTGATTTCCATCACAGCAAGAAATTATTTTTTTTAAGCATTAAAAACTTATATAGCTCTTTGTTTGCCAAATTTTTTGTTAAATGAATAAAGTTTTAATAAATAGATGGTGTAAAAGCATAATCAGAGATTGATGGCAGTGTAAACTAAAAAACTAATTTCTGATCTTTGTGTTTTTTTGATGACAATTTAAACTACTATTTTTTAAGGTTACTAAGTTTTAAGGTATGTTTTTTATTTGTGCCTATCAGTAAGTACCATTATTTTGTAAACTACGTTCCATAAGTTTTTTACTCCATTAAATTTGTTATAAAGAGTTTCACAAATTTTAACTATATATATATATATATATTTAATGCGTTTAATTTTGTAGATATAAGTTTAATCTACAATATACAGTAAAAATTGCTAAAAAAAACAAAACAAACATGTTTAAAAATAGTTACCAAGCAAAAGCCAAAGGTGTATCATGATGCCCCACTCTCCCCTACACAAAAACTAATTTGTGTTGTTTTAAAAAACAGCTGTAAGTAATTTATTGAAATTTGATTAGATTAAAATCTAAAAATAAATCCTTAAAATTCAATCATATAAAATTTGGATTAATTTCTCTAATCTCACACACATAAAACCATTAGGAAAGCTATTTAGGAAGTCCTCCACAGCCACTGTAACTCTCTCTCAAGCTGATTAAATTGTCCCTAATCAGATGCAGCTTCAGCATTGCAACTGTAGCTGATCAGCTTAAAGCTGAAAATAAAATATCAATTGTAATCCCAACAATATATAAAATGTTATATATTTTAAAAACTTATCGTTGCATTGGTTTGACAAGGTTCTAACTGAAATTTTTTATATTAAGAGAGTTAAAAAAAAAAATTTTTAACTTTTTTTTAATGTTTAATTAAAACTATTTTTTATGGTTTTTTTTATTTGTTTATGTATTCTTTTTTTAGATGATACATGAATAAACAACAAATAATCATATAAATATTTTTATTTAGACATTAAAAAAAAAAAGAAAAAAAAATTATATGCTCTTCTCTTGATATAAAAAAAATCAGTTAGAACCTTGTCAAACCAAAGCGACCATATTTTTTTTAAATATATATTGCATATTTTATATACCTTTGTATTAACTACTAATTCTAAAATTGATATTGTATCATTTGTTTATATCATTTAATTATGTTTTAAGGAAACAAAATGAAGAATGAGCTAAGATTAAACTATTGAAATTATTGCAATAATATTTAGGGCAATAGTTATGTTATTAGGAAAAATTAGGTAACATTAATATATTATTAATCAATACAGTCGCATTGATAGCAGTTTTTTTGCTACTAACTTGTTCTGGTAAATTAATAGAGATTGTAATAGTATTATACCAAGAACTAAGCCAACAAAACACAAGTGATTTTTTGTTTTGTCATTTTTGTTTTTTTTGTTTTTTTATATTATTGGTAATGTTGAATTCAAAGAAACAGATTGCGCCATGAGTTCACTTTACAAGTTTTGAGTTTGCCTGTACTCATTAACCATGAATGGTTTTTCATTAAACTCTTAATTTGAGAAACTAGAGCTCTCTTTTTTGATTAGTGACAAAAGCTGGGTTTAATGCATGACGTTTAGCATTTTTTGTTTTAAATTTTAATGTTTTATCCTGTTTTTAATAATTTGACTTTTATTTTCATATTTTATTTAACTATACGTTTATTGAATCAGGTGTAGCAGGGTGAATATAAATCAAATAATCTTATTAAAACAAGTTATCACATAGTGTATATATTTGTGTAAAGTTTTGTATTGTTTGAAATTGATAATATACATAAATTCTAAAATGTGCAGAATGAGGTATGCAAATCATTCATTCTTTTTTTCTCTTACACATATAACTAAATATAAAAATGTCAGTATAATAACTATAAATTTTGAAATATAAAAACAAACTAAATCAATTACCTCTTCCATACCATATTAAAGTCAAAACTGTTTTAGCAAATATAATTGTATAACATATAGCCTGGAACATGTTGTATAAAGATAACCAAGCTATTTTGCTGTAAATAATTACTAAACACAAATTAAAAAAATTTATTAAAAAATTATCAAAAAAAGGTATCAAATAAATTGCGATTTTAATATTAATATACTTTAAGTATTTACAGACTGATTAATTAATTACAGATTAATATAATTAAATTATTTACAGACTGTAAATATTTAAACTTTATTATAATAATTATAAATTACAATTATTATAAATACTTTATATTTAAATAATACTATTTGCATTCAAGTATAACAAACATCAATATATTTATATATGTGTATACACTTCAAAACAAGAATTTAAAATGGCTAATCAAAATAAATTTTCTCAAAACATTTATTTTGTGACTTAAGTACTTTTAGAACTAAGCTCTTCAATTATATATATATATATATATATATATATATATATATATATATATATATATATATATATATATATATATATATATATATATATATATATATATATATATATATATATATATATATATATATATATATATATATATATATATATATATATACACACATATATATATACACACATATATATATATACATTTATATATATATACATATATATATATACATACATATATATATACATACATATATATATACATACATATATATATATATATATATATATATATATATAATATATATATATATATATATATATATATATATATATATATATATATATATATATATATATATATATATATATATATATATATATATATATATATATATATATATATATATATATATATATATATATATATATATATATATATATACATGTATATATATATATATATATATATATATATATATATATATATATATATATATATATATATATATATATATTTAATATATATTATTTATATAATATATACTATTTATATAATATATACTATTTACATAATATATATTATTTATATAAAATATATTAAAATATATAATTTTATCTAAATTTCAGAAACTACTTTTCTGAAAATTGGATTATATAAAATTAAATTTAATTAAATTTTAAAAGCAAAACATCCCTGTATTTTTTTTATTCAAAATTGGAAACACTTATTTTTAAACATCATTATGATCATCATCATAATTATCATCATAATGATGATCATCATCATAATAATCATCATCATGATGATGATCACTATTTTCGACTGAAGTTGCTACCTCTCAACATGCTGATACCTAAATCCTTTTAATCTTTTTTGTTCAATTCAATGTTTTTTCTAATCTGTCTAAGGTCATGCTTCCTTTTCTTGTCTTGCTAGAGTCACACAAGGCATCTATCTGATCATCTTCTCTTTCGCCAAATACTACACCATATAAAAACTAAAGTTTATATAACAATAAAAGAATATTGTATGCTAGCATAAATAAATAGCAAACATATATGTTTATATCCATAATATGTATGCATAAAGTGTATCTAAGAAGCTTTTATTCTTTCTGGAATAAAAGTTTGGAAGCTTTTATCACTTCTTTTCAATTTTAAGTCAAGACTCATTCTACTACACATTTTTCCCCATCTTGAGCAGTTGCTTTATGAAACGTTAATCATTTTTTTACATCTTATTTAAAAGAACATCTCTCTTAAAAACAATTGTCCTTTTATTATTGCAAGAAGCGAATGTAGAAAAGTCCTGTCTGATGTAAAGCTCTGTTATCCTCACTAAATCTTGTATCTTATCTCAAATGTTAGGTTCTAGAGACTTTTGGTTAGTCTTCAACTATGTCATTAACTAAAGTAAGTCTAACATTTATTCTTTAATTCATGGGTCTGATTTTTTTACTTCTCCCCAGAATAAAGCAGAGTTATTTGCAAAAAAATCTTACCCTAATTCTTTTAAATATAATAGCCATACTCTTACTGACAGTTAAACAGATTAATCCAATGTTAAATATCCAAATCACTCTGGCTTTCAATGCTAAAGTTAATTCTCAATTAAACACTTCTACAGTTTGTGCTCCAGACAAGATTTCCATCTTAAAAAAGTGTTTTCCAGAACTCTCTTTAATTTTTGCTAAACTTTTAACAAGTGCTAAATAAGTGGTTCCAAATTTTCAAAACTCTAGAAAACACTATGACCTCTTTAAATATCCTACAATTATCCTGGTACTAGTTTCTTTAATAATAATTATCCTATTATTAGTTTTTTTATATAAAGGTTTTGAGGTTATTAAATAATTTCTTTCTAACTGCAATAGTAAAGTTATTCTTAAAGGCTTGCCCTTTTTTTTATTTTAAGTAACTTTAAGGGTTACCCAAGGTTATATCTTTACTTTTGTATTGTTTCTTATCTACCATGACGACCTTCATGAAATCTAAAGTGGCTCTATTTACCATAGATGAGTATTTGACTTAATGAAAATCCCAGAAATTTTTTTAATGAAAATCCCGCAAAATTATTTTATTAAAAATTGATCTTATTAACTGACAAAAAAAAAATTTGTAAAGTTTTTAAACGGAATTTAGATTATTTAACTTTTTACAAAAAGGAATTTCTAATATTCAAAAAAGTTAATTTGAATGAATTAAAAAACAAAACAAAAAAAAGAAAAAAAATTGTTACAAAAATTTATCTTGAGAAAATATTTGTTTAAATGCAAAAGTTGTCACATTTAAAATTTTATGTAAGAATATATCAAATTAATAACAAAAAACATCCAGAAATTTCTGGAAAATTAAAGGAGTGAATTCCCAGAAAAAGTGAATTCCCAGAAAAAACTCATTTATGATTTACTGACGACTCAACTTTATACTTCTGTCTTGACTAAAAATTTTCACTTTTTATTGCTTCAAACAAGCAGCTGATTTTAAATCTGATCTCTCTTCTGTAACAGCTTAAAGCTTGCCGTGGCTTATGGATTTAAATTCTGGACTAAAAATCCACAATTTTTGTTAGACAACAAAAATCTTATTTACATTTATTTACTGTAAAAAAATATTATTGGCATTCCTATAATTGACAAATCATAACATTTTTACTCTCAGACAAAGTCACATTGTAAATGTATTTAGATCTGCTTTATCTACAAAGCTTGCGCCACTCTCCCATTGTTGTAAGGTTTCATTTATTTCTTTTTTCTACAAATACAATCATGGTTAATGCTTAAACAAGCTATCATCTCTATTACGATAAACTAAAACTCTATTTTATTCAAAAAGTTTTTTATTTTAAAAAATTGCTTTTTTTACTTATTACAACCATATATTTTGTAACATTAATGGTACAAGAATTTATACATAACAAGCTTCGTTTATCACTCCATGAAATTTTTTTTTTAAATGAGTGTTTTCTTTGGATTTTAACACTAGCTATCCATTTATTCATTGAGATTTTTATTCATTTAATGGAAAAACTAATAAACAAAAAGCTACATAAGTTTTAACTTTTCATAAAAAAAAAATTATTTTTTTACTGTAATAGAATGCAGAAAGTTAAAGAATTAAAGTCTTGACTTTTTATTCAAAAAGTTGCATTCTTTTATTTTATCTGCCCATGCTAAAAAAAACTTATTAATCCATTTTTTTCCTTGGATGTCAAAAAAAAAACCTTCCTAGTATTTTAACTTATTCTCTATTCTAAAGTAACTTATAACTTAATAGTGGTTGCTTGAAATCTTGTTGGAAATAAATTAGAGTTTAAAAATATATAAATGTATGCCAGTATTTAATAAACATAAGCTTAAAATTATAATATATTAGGTATTAAAAAAATTTTCCTAGTCACGGCTATCAATCCCTGCTAAATCTTATAATTTTGCCAGTGCTGGGTTTGCAAAAAGTCTCACTGTTAGCCAGGGCTGGGGTCCCGGTCACTTTCTATAACAAGCAATACAAAATGCTAAAACTTAATACCAATTCTGAAGAAAATGTGTATAAAAGTGCAATAAAACAATATTAGGATTTATTCTGGCTACATTGAACAATTGCCAAGCGGTGTAATTTAAAAAAATAGGAAGAACTGAAGAAACGATAACAAACTTAGAAAAAAATATAAAAGAAAAATTAATCTTTTTGAAATTATATATTTAAACAAAAAGTTTACATTTTGTAGATGTTCTTGTTGAAAAGAATGAAAATAATACTAACACTGATGCAAATAACATGTATAACCATTATAACAAAAAAATTTGTAAACTCTTCATTAGTTATAAATACAGAATGCAACATTGTTAATTTTAATACTGGAAATGGCCATAACTTTATTGTTAATTTACTGTATCATTCAATTCTTTATTATACGAACATGAAAATTATAATTTTATCACTTTAATGAATCTCAATTATCTACTTTTTCTTGGACCAGCAAATTATCAACTTTTATATTTAGGTTCAAGGAGTGTGAGGGTTAAAACAAAGTCTTAATAGTTATCAGTAAAAAATTATAAACTATGTATATTATAATAACCTATAACTTTTTTGTAAATATGTACTAATTTTATTTGGTCGCAACTTTAAAAAAAAAAATGTATATACTAAATATATTTTAAATATCTTTATTTTAAAAATATTGTTTAAACAGTCAATATTTAAAGTTAATGCTTTTAATACTTTTCTGACCTAGTCAAAATCTTTTTGTTTAAGAATTTATTTTCATGTGCTTAATACAAAGATGAGGTAGTTTGTTATCTTTTGGACTTCCCTCCCTGAGCGTATAAAATTCATTAAATTCACTCCATTATTAAATTTCACTTATTGCCAAAGAAAACTATCTACTAATAAAAATAAAAAAATTAGAGTAATCAGGCTTTAAAATACCAAATTTAAACTAAATGATCAAATGAAAACTTTTATTGTAATCAGCTCTTAAAAATTCACCAACACTAAACAAAAATTTAAAAAGTTATTGAGAGCTTGTATTGAAAACTGAATAACTTGTATTGTTGTTGCTATACATTTTTAAGTTATTTGTCTGCATTTTGATCCCAGAACCCTTAGTTTTAATTGATCCAATATTTGCGTGGCGAAAACAAAACTGTACCTTATTATAAATTTTGAAATACAAAAACTTTAATAAAAAAAATACTAATATATAATTAACTAAAAAAAACAATACTATTTATATAACTATATTAATAATATTATTTATATTTTATCATTCAAAAATTGAATGATAATATTTTATAATTCAAAAATTATAATATATCATATAATTCAAAAAATTTAGAGAACAAAATCTAATAAGTTCTCTTAATAAGTTAAACAATAATTAAATTATTTAACTGTAGTTTTTATTTATTATCTGATAATAAAATTCAAGTAAAAATAAAAGCCTTATAAATTTAATTTCAATTTTCTGAAATTGAAGTTGAACTTAATTTAAAAGAATTATTGCAGGGGCATGGTTAGGCTTGATCTCTGTACCTCTTACTATAAAAAACAAGCACACCACTGCAACACAACTACTGTATTTGGAAATGTATGCTTTCACTTTCTCTCTCAGAGACCTAATAGTATTGGGTTTAATTAGTAGTATTAGATTAATTTTTTGGATTAAATACTATAACTATTATAGAAATTCAACATTAACTTACAATCGGTTTTGGCTTTATCTACTTCACTTTTGATTTTTTGTTCAAAGGAAATTTTCTAAATTAAACATACATAACACAATTACAATATTTTTATACAAAAGAAAATTCATCGTTCTGTTTTATCTCAGGTAGGTTAATCAGGAAAATTAATCTTCATGATTAACATACATTAAGTGAAACAGACTATAGAAGAAATTTAAATGTGTTTTTTAGTAATTTATTTTTGTTCTTTAAGAACATCAAGCACTCTATATGTAGAATACAACTTACATGTAGAATACACTAACTTACATGTAGAATACACTAACTTACATAAAGAATACACTAACTTACATGTAGAATACACTAACTTACATGAAATATTATTATTACATGTAGAATACACTAACTTACATGAAATATTATTATTACATTTGGTGTGATTGTACTAATAAGGCTCTTTTTAAAACAAGGTTCAAAAACATATAGAAAATATTGTTTGATCTTGTTTATTTGTTAAGCTTGAGCCTCTGTCTGATTGTTGTAAGATGATTATCTGTCTTGATATTTACTTTTTACAATATCTAAATATTTTTTTAATAGTAGGATTGTGGACTCCAAAAAAAAGGTTTTTTGAAAGAAAAAACAAGAGCATCTTCCAACCAATCAAAACTCTGATCTTAAGCCTAATCTGTTTCTATGTTCAATGGATATATGATGTGAACAATTAACATATTATATGAACAGTGAATGCATTATATGTACAGTAAATATATCATGTAAACAGTAAATACATTATGCATTGAAAGTAAGAATAATTAAGAGCACTAAAAAGGAAACTAGCTGAAAAAAAAAAAAAAAAACTAAAAATTATTATGCAAGTAGGTTACAACAAAAAAACCTTGATTTGGTCTGAAATATCACTATCTTCTTTTTCTTCTTCAGAGTCTTCAACTTTCCATTTATCAAAATCAACTCTTAACCAAACAGGTTTCTTTTCTTGTTTTAAAAGACGAGGCCATTCCTCTATGTTCAAAAACCAGAAACACAAAAATTAAAAATATAAGTTTAAAAAACTAAATTATTTAATCTGGTAGATTTTTAGTAAAATGCATAGTTTATTTTATATATTTAATATAAGTTTATATCAAATAATAAAATAACAACCTGATGTGACTTGTTTAACAATCTCTAATTGGATATTCCTATCAGTACACTTAAAAATGCTTTTCTATAAAATAAAAAAAAAATCCACACAGAATTAATACAAATCTTTACACAAAAATCCACACAAAACTTACAATACAACTAAAAAATATAACTCATCAAAAATTGACAACGTATATACTTTCAAATTAATGTTTTTTTTTTTTAACTTTAAACTAAGATTTAACGTTAAATGAACTTTTTTTACTTAAACTTTTTTTAACAATTATTAATCATAATTGCAACTTTATATAAACAGAACAAAAATATGATTCATTATTTAAACAAAAATAAGACCAATTATTTGAAGGTGTTTATGTAGGTTTCGCATAAGCTGTTTGAACTTTGTTTATATATTTTATTCACACATTTACTAACTTTTAATCTATATTTGTTCTACATTAAACTGTTTTTATTAAATGTTTTTTATTTCATATAATGCCAATAATGGTATCAAAAGAATAAAGTCATGATATAAAAAATATTATTTTGATTAAAGATAAATTTCATATAAATTCATTCACGTCAACCATATACTTCAAATACTGCCATTTTTTTACAGTTAAAACTACGTAATGCATGGGTTTTCAACTTTTTATAAACCATAGTCCAATTTTCAAACCTTTTGACACATATATAGTTATTTATTATTTTATACTACATTAAAACCTTTCTCAAATTCTTGAGCAAACACATTGTCTTTAATTGTAAAAGACAAAACTAAAAAACAAATTTTATGAAGTATTTTGTTAAGTATTGAATTAGTAATAAGTAAAAAATAATTTTTTTTTTCATTGTCATCATCTTTTGTATAGTAAAGCAATTTGTATACATTCATTTCTTGACACAGCTGTTGACTGTGTTAGCTTTTTTTTCTCTCTCTCACTTTGTTGATTTAAGTCCCTTTTTTTGACAAAATTAATGATCTGTATTACATTTTGCAACACATTCTTTAAACCAGATGAAAGGATTTTAAATGCTAGTGCTTCTCTGTGTATGAAACAGTGGGTTAATGTGATACTTATGACTTTGCTCATAACCAATGTTTTAAAGTCACTTTTTGATTCTATTATTACAGGCGCTCCATCCTTACAGATGCTACAAAGTTTTTTCTTATTCAACATTTTTATTTTGTCTAAAGAGAGAAAAAACCAAATTTAGCCTTGATTTTAATATATGTAATTATCTGCTTCTTTATATGTTGCCATTTTCTTACTCCTCATTCCATTCTCTACCTCTATAAATCTCTTATCCCTGAACGGAATACTGCCATATTTGGGTAGGTTCTTCTAATGATACACTTTTTCTTCTAGACAAGGTCCAAAAATGCATTATAAACATAGTCAGACTCGTTCTATCTGCTAAGTTTGAGCCTCTTTTCCATCGTCGTAATGTTGCATCTCTTTCTAGTTTTTACAAATACTATCATAGTCACTGTTCAAAGGAGCTATCATATCTAGTTCTATTAACTAAAACTCATCTCTATCAGCTATCATCTAGTTCAGAATCTCTAGTTCCTTCAACTATAACTCATTCTGACTTGACTTGTCATTCAGCAACTTCTTATTCATTTGCTGTATCTGCTCCTGCATGCTCTAAAAACTTTTATTTGTCTAGTTTTTTTCCCCGTACTTCAATTCTTTGAAGCTGTCTCCAATATTCATGTTTTCCTGACTCATACAGACTTCAACGTTTTAAGTCTTCTGTCAACTATTTCTTTGCTCTAAACTTTATTCTTTTTGACTAGTACCTCCTAAATAATAGTGGTTACTTGCAGCCTTGTTGGGAGTAAATCAGAATAATAACAGCAAAAACAAAAAGACTCAACAACAATTCTCTTTTGGGATACGTTATCTAACAACCGGATTGCCTCCAGCTTTTTCTCATAGTCATCTCTTGTTTAAGAATATTTGTGTTTCTCTTCAGGGGACAAGAACGCCTTGACAAATATCTGCTAAGTAGTAAATAATCATGACTTCTAAAAAGAACCCCATAAAATTCATTACATGAACTTTTTGGAATTTTTTGAAATTATTAAGTTCTATCAAACCAGCAAATTCTGAGACATGGTGACATCATTTAACACAGAATTATCCTATATAAAAATGAAAAATTAAGAAAATTGTTTACAAAAGATTTTTTTAAACAAAATTTATCATTTGTCAAGATAATAATTTAAATGAAAAAAAAATTTCATATAAAATTTTTTCTTTTCTTTGTTTTATCATTTTCTTCCTAAAAATTGCAGTGACCTACTGTATATTTTAAATAGACAAATTTTTTAAAAATATTGGCAGGGATATCTGATAAACTCAATTATCTGACAATAATATAAAAGTTACAAAAAGTTCTTGATTACTCAAAACAAAATAAATACGAGTGAGTTATAAATTATTTTTTTTTACCTTAAAGTCGATTCTCTTGTAAAATTCCAATCTAAAACTGTAGTCATTTTCACCATGTGCACCGTGGCCAGACCCTACAATATACAAAAATTTATCCTCTTATAAAATTCCAACATTAAATGTTACATTTTTTCATAACACACACCATGGTCAAACACTTAAATGTTACAAGATAATAACTTTAAACTGAAAAATATATATATATATATATATATATATATATATATATATATATATATATATATATATATATATATATATATATATATATATATATATATATATATAACTATGTGTGTAGTAATAAGTAATGTGGCAAATGAAGTTGTTAATTGAAAAAGAAATTTGTTTTAAGATTTGTGATTTGAATTTATATCAATATAAGAGAATTCAGTTTTTTTTTTTTTTTTTTTTTATTTGCATTCACTCCCAACAAGGCTGCAAGCAACCACTATTAAGTTGGGAGTTACTAGGAAAAAAAAGAACAGAGTTATAGAGCAAGGAAATGGTTGACAGAAGACTTGAAAAGTTGAAGGTTGTATGAGTCAGGAAAACATGAAGATGGGAGAGAGTTCCAAAGGATTGAAGTGCAGGGAAAAAAACTAGATGAACAAAAGTTTTTAGAGCATGCAGGGACAGATACAGTAAACGAATGAGGCTGAATGACGAGTAAAACAAGAATGAATTTTAGTTGATGGAACTAGAGATGATAACTCCTTTGAGCAGTGACCATGATAGTATTTATAGAAGAGAGAAAGAGATGCAACTTTACGACGATGGGAAAGAGGTTCAAGCTTAGCAGATAGTCCAGGTCCAACAACATTTACAATGCGATTTTGGACCTTGTCAAGAAGAGAAAGTGAATCGTTAGAAGAACCAGCCCAAATATGACAACAGTATTCCATACAGGGACGAATAAGAGATTTGTAGAGGTAGAGAATGGAATCAGAAGTAAGGAAATGGCAAGCACAATAAAGAGAAGCAACCTTAGCAGAAGCTAATTTAGCAATTGATTGTATATATGGTTTCCATGAAAGGTCAGTAGTAAGCGATAATTTAAGAAGACGTAAAGAGGAGGACTCAGTAAGAGGATTGCCATTCATTAATATAGGAATGTTGACCATATTACGGTAGTTGTTTGCAGTAAACAACTGGGTTTTGTTAGAGTTGAAATTCACAAGCCACTGTGAACCCCAATCTATTACTGAAGTGAATATATGAAGTGAATACTGAAGTGAGATCGGATTCAAGATCAGCTGCTTGTTCTAGACGATCAAAAAGAAAAGACTTTTTGTCAAGACAGGAGTATAAAGTTGAGTCATCAGCAAAAAGAGGTACTTTAGATGAAAGGTTGCCAGGAAGATCCTTTATGTAGATAAGAAACAAAACAGGGCCCAGGATGGAACCTTGGGGAACCCCAGAAGTTACTGGAAATAAAGAAGAGTGTTGGCCTTCAAGGATGACTTTAATAAACCGGTTAGAAAGAAATGATTTGATAATCTCAAAAACTTTCCCAGAAACACCATATGAAGCAAGCTTATGGAGAAGACCAGCATGCCAAACTTTGACGAAAGCTTTAGATATGTCGAGAGCAATAGCCCTAGCCTCACCTTTTTAAAAAAAATGTATAAATTTCTTTTAAAAATCTTTTCATGAGTAATTGTTTACATTTGGATAATTATTTTTGCACTGAAAAAACTTCCTTATTTGTAATTAAATTGAACACGTTAAAAGAGAATTGATGAAACAAAAGCTCTGTAATTATCTGGAAATAACTTTTGTGACAAGTAAACGAATAATTACTGATGAACAAGAAGGAAATATAAGGAGATGCACAAAACCGTAATATTACAGCACGGACATTTAGAAAACAGACTAAATCAAAATGCACCTAATGAAAATATTTTTAACACTTCTAAACCTGTGTTTGGAAGTGTTAAAAGAGTGCTCTTAAAAAAATGTGTGTATGTGTGTTAAGAGAAACTTACTCTTTAAAATTCTTTAAGAGTGCTCTTAAAAATTTGTGTATGTGAGGTGCTCTTAAAAAAAGCGGATTTAAAATTTGGTTCAACCCATCATACAGCAAAAATGTTTTAACAAATAATGGAAAAGTTTTTTTAAAATTAACAGACAAACATTTCTCTCTCTCTAATAACATTCAAAAATTTTAACAGAAATACTATTAAAGTAAGCTATAGCTGTACAAAAAAGTAAATAAAAAATTAGAAAATATGCTATATTCTGATGTTCATTGAAAACTAATAAAACAAATTTGTAAAGTATTTCGACCCCAACCAATACAACAATAGCTAAAATGAGATGAAAACAACACATATTTTTTATATATTATTCTATAAAACATAATAATTGTAATTTGGAATACTTTTAACATAAACTTTCTAGTTGATGTTAAATACATAGACTAAAAACCTTTAGGTTTATTTTGTTACTTATTATTATGTTTTTTTTAATATTATTTAATCGTTGTTAACAGGCAAGCATTTGCCTCAAAGCCAGGCTTTGAACATTAAAATAATGTTTTTTTGGACATAACACCATCGATTTATTGTTTTAAATTGTTTTTGTTGTTTCATTATTATTATTATTATTATTAATTATAATGAGAATTTTTTTTTATTCTAAAAAAACTAAATAATTGAACTGAATAATTTAAGCATAAGCACTGAAACAGTAGAGCAATACTAAATATTAGAAACAATTCAACATAAACTGTTTGTTATGTTAAGCTTAATATACTTCAAACAAATGGCAAATTATATGCAACTCTAAAAAACATTTTTTCCCTAAGAAACATATACAACAAAACATTATTGTTATTATTATTATTATTATTATTATTATTATTGCTATTATTATTATTATTATTATTATTATTATAATCATCATTGCTATTATTATTATTATTATTATTTATTATATTTATTATCATAAGATTAGTATCTTTAAATGCTGAAACTAAACAATTTAGAAATATATATAGCAATAAATAAATCATAATTGCTAACTGTAAATAAATATTCAAAACACAAAAATTTAAAATTAACAACCTTTAAACTTAAGACTTGTTTCATCAAATTTTATATCTGGATTCTAAAAAAAAGTTTTTATTACAAAATATTAAACAAAAACATTATTTAAAAGCTTATGTTATAAGAAGAACAAAAAACTTATGCATTGTTATTTTGTTAAATACTTTATTAAAATTTTTTAAATATTTATTATCTAAAATATTAAAAATAAATTTAATTTAGTAATGTTAGTTATTAACCATGAGGGATTTTATAACAAATATGATATTATCTCAGCAATATAAGACTTACAGTTGTGACCCTCACAAGAAGAATACATGTAATCTCAACAGACATACAAATTCAGTTAGAGACTGACTTGGAAATTTGTTTCTCAGTACAACTTGACAAGTCTACAGATATCACTGCACAGTTAGCAGTTATGGTGACAATGGTATTTAGTAACTTCACAGTAAATGGTATTTAGTAACTTCACAGTAAATAAGTATATGTTGCAAATATTAACTATGAAAGGAAATAAAAGGAATTGAGGATATTTATAATACATTCAGAACATACACCAAGTCAATATATCAGGATTGAAATAAGTGTAGAACATCAGCATCCTTTGGAGTTTTTTCAAGATTTGTCTGAGGAGGGCAACCAAATATTGTTTATTTTTTTTACAAAATAAACAATAGTTGTTCTCCTCTAGCTGGTCTTAAAAAAGATATTGTATAATTCAAAATATGCCTTTGCACAAGCTGGCTGCAATAACCACCAATGGGGCACCAACAATGGTAGGTAAAAAGAATTTGTTACCATCTAAAAGAAGGATAATTTTAAGTTCTGCATTGAAAAATATTGCCATTTAAACACATTATTAAAATAGTTACAAAATTAACCAATTTTATTTGAGCACTTCCATTGCAACGCTAACTTTTCAAGAACCTGTTAGAAAATGCTAAAGATAAAAAAACATGATCTTATCCTATATACTGAAGCACATCGGCTCAGTAAAGGAAAAGTTCTTACAAGATTTGTGAGTTTAATTGAAGAAATAAAAGAATTTATAAACAATAAAAAGAAAAATTATGATGAACTAGCTGATTCTCGCTGGCTGATTGATTTGGGTTTTCTCACAGACATCATGGAAAAATTGAATTATTTTAATTTGGAGGTGTAGGGAAAAAAGTATAGCTAAAATGATAAGCTCTGTAAAATCATTTAATGTTAAACTGAATTTGTTGATATCACATCTGCAGATTAAGTCTCTTGTACATTTCCAACATATGAAAAAAATGCAAGGTAACAATGAATTAAACAGGTCATTATTTATAAAGCACCTTCAAGTATTTAAAAAATAGTTTTAAAAGATATTCTTGCAAAAATATATTTAAATAACTATGACAAGGTGTAAAAATGCATTGTAAACATAGTTGGACCTTCATCTTGTTTTCTTGATTAATATAATTTGCAATCTTTCAAGTTGTCTATTAATGGCTATCTTGCTTTATAAACTTCATCTTTATACCTACGGTACCTTTTAACTCTAATATATGAATAAGATCGCACCTCTAATGTCACACTGAAATTGCATCTTGCCGGGGGCTTTAGTACATACATCAATTATCTTATAGCCTGCTACCGCAAAGGTTTGGCATAGGGAAGCAATCCTTTCTTTTATTAATCTTTGCTTTTTTTCTTCTTTTTTTGAAAACATGGTATGCTAAAAAAGCAGTAAAAACTAGTTATTTAAAAATTGATTTAAAGTACCTAAAAAATATAAAACATAAAAAGCCATCACCTCCACCTAATTATTCCAATCTATCTTTTACAAATATTTGTATTCTTTGAAGAAACTTTTTAATACTTGAATTTTACCTCTTGCAAACCTTAAGACCAACTGTTTAGAACCACTTCACTCATTCACCTATTTCTTTTCTCACTTCACTCATTCACCTATTTCTTTGCTCTTTATCATACTCCTTCTTCTCAATTATTTATAAAATTATTTTATCACTATTTGTGAAGTTATTTCTGATAAAATTGACCAAGCTCTTTCTCTTTAACCATCAGCCAATATTGTTTTTATCAGATAGTTAACTTTGTGACTTTGTTTTGCAGACAAGTCATGTCACTTACTTTCAGTCCTTAAAATGTCTCTTACTTCTGACCCTAGCTTTTGCTCCTTTTTTTTTTCCTTCTTTAGGTGGTTCAGACAATACTATTACTTTTTAAAATCTTTTATCTCATACTTTTTTTTAAATCCAACATATCATTGCACTATTTACTAATACCATTAAACTGATTAGTTTTCTTTTTGTGATTTTCATTGTGAGCATACTTGGCTGATTTTCTTATTATCTCATGGCTGATCCAGGCTTGGATGAAAGTTTTTTTTTGTTTGTCAGTTTAAAATTGAGCATCATTCTAAGCCATGGTTTTCGCCATAGCAACTGCTATATCTAGTCATAATCATTTTTTCATCTTTTTTACAATAACAATTCTCTTAAAAATATCTTTCGATTATTGCAAGAAATCAATGTAAAAAGGTTTCTCAAGCTAAGCTTCAATACTCTCAATTTACTAAACCTCCTTTTGTTCATCAGGGTTCGTGTTTTGGAGTTAAAGAGTTGAGTGAAAGAGTTGTAATCACAAGAAAAATAAATAAGAAGCCTCCTTAACTGTAGTGGCCCTATTGTCCTTGAGGAAGTCAATAATATTCATTGCTAGACATCCAAATCACTTATTTGTTAAGTTATTTCTCTCAGTATATAAGTTATAAACTCAACTACTAGTTGTGGTCCAAACAATATTTCGTTCATAGTTTTACAATAGTGTTCTTCAGAACTCTCTTCAATACTCTGAAAACCTTTCAAAAATTAAAATTGCATCTGCATTTTTAATTTTTGAAAATTTTACAATACTTTGACCCCTCTAAATATCTTTCAATCTCCTCTCTATTATTAGCAAATCTTTGAGTTTTTAATTAACAAATTTTTAATACCTTATCTTAAGTCTAATAACTTTCTGATATTTTGATACTACCATTCTACTACTGAATGTTATAACAAAAATGTTCTAGTGTGCATTAGACAACAATGCTAAGGCTATTTTTGTTGATATCAATATTTTTGTTGATATCAAGAACTCTCGATAATGTCTGACATGCATATCTCCATAAGTTTTTCTGATTATTAAACAACTTTTTTATAACTGCAGTATAAAAAACATCCTCGAATACCAACATTCCTTATCATTTTTAGTAACTTCTGGGGTACCACAAGGTTTTAACAATGTTTATGCACTATTTTCTAACTTTATTAATAACCTTCCTGACAATTTAAGTGATTCTATTTGATAACAACTCATCTATTTACTCATGTCTTTATTTCTTAATTGCTTAGAACAAGCAGTCAATCTTGAATCTGATCTCTTCTCTGTAACAGCCTGGAGCTTGTAGTGTTTAGTGCATTTTAACTACAGCAAAACTCAGTTTTTCACTTCCAACAATTATCAAAAAACTATTGATATTATTATATTTAGGAATAACAATACTGTTACTGAGTCCTCTACTTTAAGAATCTTTGGATTTTCATCACCAGAATCAGCCAGAACTTATTCTTGCTTAATTTATCAACCAGCAAAGTTATTAACTTTTACTGTATCTGTTCCTTTATACTTTAAAAACTTTGATTTGCCTAGTTTTTATTTGTGCACATCAACGTTTTTGAAGTATTTATAATTTTTATGGTTTCTTGATTTGTACAATTTCAATTTTTTTAATTCCTCATTTTTTAAGTTTGGATTTACCAAAAAACAAAAAATATTGTTACAGAGAAAGAAAATAGAAGAGGAGGAATTAAAAAACTTGAAATTGTACGAATCAGGAAACCATAAAAATTAGAAATACTTCAAAAGCGTTGAATATATCAGATATATATATATATATATATATATATATATATATATATATATATATATATATATATATATATATATATCTGATATGATATATATATATATCTGATATGATATATATATATCTGATATATATATATATATATATATATATATATATATATATATATATATATATATATATATCTGATATATATATATCTCTCTCATATATATATATAAATATATATATATATATATATATATATATATATATATATATATATATATATATATATAATATATATATAATATATATATAATATATATATACAATATATATATATATATATATTATATATATATGCATATATATATATATATATATATTTATATATATATATATATATATATATACATATATATATATATACATATATATAGTAAAAACAACTGCATGTTTAACTGAAGACATGGAACATGGAAGTTTTTATAACGATTTTGAATTACCTTCGCATCACTTAAATCTATAGTAACGTTGAGAACGTTGAATCAGATATATATATATATATATATATATATATATATATATATATATATATATATATATATATATATATATCTGATATATATATCTGATATATATATATATATATATATATATATATCAGATATATATATATATATATATATATATATATATATATCTGATATATATATATTATATATAAATATATATATAATATATATATACAATATATATATATATATATATATTATATATATGCATATATATATATATATATATATATATATATATATATATATATATATATATATATATATATATATATATATATATATATATATATATATATACATATATATATATATACATATATATAGTAAAAACAACTGTATGTTTAACTGAAGACATGGAACATGGAAGTTTTTATAACGATTTTGAATTACCTTCGCATCACTTAAATCTATAGTAACGTTGAGAACAGGCCCATTCTGAGCCCATCGAATAATTGGGGTAAGCTCATCCATAAAATTATTCAATAACTGACTTTATTATTTTATTTCAAACTAAACTTAAACGATAGATGTAACTAAACGTATTTAATTAGCAAAAATGAAAACATACGCAATAAAAAAAATTAGAGCACTTAATAGTAAAGAGTTTTCGAGAAATATTGTGAAGATATTTTGTTTCAGATTTGTTATTAGACGCGAGAGCCCCGTGAATATATCCGTACGGTTACCGAAATCGTTTTGCGCACTGACATGATAACTGGATAGCACAACTCCGAAAAAATTTATAACTTTTGTCGCCAAAATCACCATAATGGAAAGCCCCAAAAATTTTAATTCTTCTAAGCTTTAACCTTAGTTTTTCGACTCATCGCTTTAATTTATACACAGTATCAGGAAGAAAAGAACTGAAAGCTTGGGTTATTATTGAGATCATAAATATGCGTCTTCTACCGGTTTTGCATTTAATTGGGTGTAAAATGTTACCGGCGGTAAAATTTGCCTGTGTAGTATGAGATTTTTACTCCCGCGTTTTTTTTTACTCCCCAGTAAAAATCTCATACTAAATTTTTACTCCCATTATGAGATTTTTACTCCCATAAAATATTTTGCGGCAAAATGTATTTTTGAAACCAAGCCACGTTGTGTTTAGTGAACACTTTTAAACGTTTTAACTACTGCGGTTCTTGAAAAGCAATAAAGAAGCGAGTATTTAAACAAAAATATTTAAACATTTGTAATTTAATAATCCAGTAGTAAATATTATTTTTAAAATTATCAAATGATGATAATGTCAAACTAGACCAATTAATAAAGACGTAGAATCAAGCAACACGCACGATAATAATCAACATGAAAGCAGTGCAAATGAAAGAATAACAAAATGTGGAACTTTTAATATGAGAAAAAAAAATTGCAGTAAAATTTTTGGAATAGTTAGAAGACACAATATTGCGGTAGGAAACATTAACCTAACTCTATCCCCTAGGCCTAGGGGATAAATATGTATGAAAAAACTATATGTATGAAAATATGTATAAATATGTATGAAAAAACTATATATATAGTTTTTTCATACATATTTATATATAAAAGTTTGATAGATTTTCAAACAAAGAGTTAGATTAAGGTGGTAGTTGTCCAAGCTGTCGTCCAACATTGACATTTTGTTTATTAATAATGCCTAACATTTTGTCAATTGATTTTTCTCAAAACATTTTTTAATAAAGTTCATTTTAAACAGAATCGCTTCTTTGCTGTTTTTCCAAAGCTATAACCTTTAAAACATTAAAAAATATTGTCAAAAAAATTAAAGTTGTAAAACACATTTTGCCGCAAAATATTTTATGGAAGTAAAAATCTCATAATGGGAGTAAAAATTTAATATGAGATTTTTACTGTGGAGTAAAAATTTCATATGAGATTTTTATGTCTTATGAACATTATTGATCCGGACAATAGATTTCTAAAATTAAATTCAGGGCAAAGATATCTACACAATTTGATGCAGAAAAGCTTATAACATTGAATTGAAAAACTCAAATTGAGCTAAAAAAATTCCTACAGAAAATTTTCGCCGGTAGCATTTTTCACCGGTAAAATATTTTATAACATCGACCTAAGGTGGCTTTTTATTTAATCTGCTGGTTTTTTCTTTTAATTTAATCTGCGGTTTTATGCATTTAATTTAGCGAAATTCATTTATCATAACTAATAGTTTTGCTTTTATTGCTTCGCCTAATTTAACTTTACTCCTTACTTACAATTTAAACCCATTTTCACTTTAATTTTTTATAAACCTAAAATGAATAACCCACAAAAAAGTTCGATCATTAAACTTGCAATTTATGAAGGAAAAAGTGTAAGAGAAGTATTAGAACTTGGGTATAGATATCAATGGACCAGGCGTCATATCGAAGTTGCATTAACTTCGATATGACGCCTGGTCCATTGATATCAACAGGTCCATTGATATCAACACGTAATATCAATTCTGATGTTAGTGATGATTTTCGACAGTCAGGTTGTGCTGAGAAAATAAGAAATGTATAAGGCAATTGAATAAAAAATAACAGAAACTATAATCTACAGGTGATAAAAATAGAATCGGGAATACCAATTTTTTTACAAAAAAATTTAAAACCCGTTATTAAAAGACACAATACTGCAAAGATAAAAGAAAAAAGAACAACATGTTTCATGGTATTTAAACTTGACATCTTTGCAACGTTATAAAAATTTCATTTATATCAATGAAATTCCATTCAATCTTCATAAAATAAAATACTACGGATACAATCTCTGAGAGAAGACCCTAAATCAACGTGTATTGCCATCAGGAGGCCGTAACATAACCATGAAGCTTTAAATTGTTCAAACATAGTCAACAGTAAAGCAATAATTGGTGCAGGAGTGACAGCAGATATCTTTAAAGAATTCTAAAATGCACTTACTTATTTTGATGATGGACAACGTTAACTACCACTATTCATAATCAGATTTTATTATGACTATTCCTATGATATTCATTTTTTACCCTGATACTCACCTTGGTACTCACCCTGATATTCATCTTGGTACTCACCCTGATACTCACCTTGGTACTCACCCTGATACTCACCTTGGTACTCACCCTGATACTCACCTTGGTACTCACCCTGATACTCACCTTGGCACTCACCCTGATACTCACCTTGGTAATCACCCTGATACTCACCTTGGTACTTACCTTGATACTCACCTTGGTACTCACCCTGATACTCAACTTTTCTAAATTTTTTTGGAGTGACATTCTCGTAAATCAAGAATACTACAAAAAGACAAATAGCTCCCATCCGAAATAACAATTTATTAGTGCGAATGAGGAACAGTTGTGAGCATATTACTGAACATGATCTTTCAAATTACGTTAGACATTGCGAATCTTTTTATTATGACGTATTAATGGAGATAACATTAATAAAAAAAGTTGTAATCATTAACAATATGTTTTTTTGAACTTGTATAAATAGTAAATTGTATCAAATAATAAAATACCTAAAAAGTAGATTGACTATTATCATTCTAATAAAAGAAAAAAAGATATAAAACTAAATTCACTCACTTGCCATTAATATATATCATAATTATATGCTATTTGATTATACTATTTTTATACATCTAAATATTTTTCTAACCGGAACAAGTGTTTTTTTATTACAAATTAAACAAGCAATTGTGTTATAAAATTGAAATAAACTTTGCAACGCCATGTTAAATGCAACAAACCACCTGATTAAATTAAAATAATCACCATATTTTAATTATTTTAATTTAAGCTGGTGGCTTATTGCATTTAACATGGTGTTACAAAGCTTATTTCAATTTTATAATGCAATAGCTTGTTTAATTTGTAATAAAAAAACACTACGTTAAAATAAGTTGGTTAGAGCGTCAAACGAAATGTTAAAACCAGGAAAGTTGTACAATACGAGTTCAAATTCAATCACCACCAACTTAGCGTTGAGTAGTACTTCGGTACAAAAAAATGTTGGTCAATGAAGGACGTTATTTTGGATTAGTCTTTAACACTACTTGTGGCTGTTTCTATGATTAACCAACAGTATCTTTGAATATAAGGGCATTCTATAACAAAATATAGCGTAAATATAGCGTAAAAATCAAATAAATCGATAAAAAAAAAAAAAGTAAAGAGTTAGAGTGAATTAATAATAAGTGTTAACTGTAAACTAATGAATGAATGAAGTGATTGAATGAATACTTTTTTTCAAGTTTTAAATGTTAACAAAGTCTTGATTTTGAATGATTTCGGAGAAAAGTAGTCATTAAAACAGTACGGAGAGAGATCTGACGCGTGAAAGATTAAAAAAAAAAAATTCAGAACATTTTTAGATATAAACGTTACAGCTTTTTTCATCTATCTCAAAGTCATACTAAGTGAATTTATTTCCTTCTTTAAACTTCCGGTTCAATTAATTAATTTTTTTTTTGTTCTCTTTATCTTTCCTCTCTTAAACGGTTCAATAATTGTATTTTCTTTACGGTTTTATTAGATGTAACATTTATTTTTGTTTAAATATGTTATTTTTTGAATAGATTTATTAATAACAAAGCTATCATTATACTGCTATCAATCAAAATTAATATTCATTATATTGATGAGAAATACTTAACTAAAATGTTGTTATAATTTTAGAAAAATATTAATGAACATAAAAGGTAACTGTTGGGTTTGATGGCAAAAATAAATTTAAAAAAATCTCATTGCAGTCGAAGATACTATTGAAAAACTGGCGTATACTCTAGATAGGTAAAAAAAACTGCCGCCTAACCTTCTTTAGAATGTGAAAATGGCATAACTAATTTGTACATGGTTGCAAAAAAGAAAGATCCCCCAAACCTGGTTGACACAAAAAACGAAAATTAATTTAATATCATATGTTAAAGCATAAGTTAAAAAATAAAGAAAAAAAACCATAGCTCTGAGTTATAAGAATAAAGATTGGCTGGAATTTTGAAATTTTTTTTTTTTTTTTTTGAGATATTATTACGTTTGAGATTAATCAGATCTTTTCTTTTACCCTAAAAATAATAAAGATAAAAATAATAAAGATGCGTTGTAAATATCTGTCAATAATAGTTAATAATAGTTATATATTTCGACTAAAATCAGCTCATACATTTTTAAATAAATCGACTAAATCAACTAAAAGTCGGTTTAGTCGAAGTATGGGAATAATTTATTTCTTTGAAATAAATTTCAATAAAAATAACAAAGTAATTCCTAATTGTTTTCTATCTTTTAACATCGAATTGTTTAAATAATGATGGAGAAAAGGGCTGCTCTGATAACGGGACAATCTGTTGCCAGACCCAAATCATTTAGGGACTGTTTTAAATACTTGCCACAATGATATATATACATTATGATATATATACATACATATGATATACATACATATGATATATATACATACATATATAGATATCAGTGGCGGATTAAGAATTCTTAGGGCCCGGGGCTACTTTTGTTTTTGGAGGCCTTTTATGTTCCAGAGCCAAAAAATGACTTAAAAAAACAAAAACAAAAACAAAAAAAACGAAAAAAAATTCTCTCTAATTTTTGAGAGCCCCTAAATTTGCGGGCCATGGGGCTATATATAC